TTCCTGACCACTGGTTCACACGGCATCTCTTGATGGGCTCGGCTAGGAGTATCTTTTATTGATAGATCTACTCGGGTCGGTATAATGACGACCTGGTCTCTGGTAGCCACGTGGTGCTCTCCAATAGGCTCAGTTCATAACGATGATATGAACTATCAACATTGAGTATTGTTTTCTATTCTTATTTTCTTTTGGAATTTCCATGTATTATAACTTGTGCAGACGATGGACGAGACTCTGGAAGAGTGGCTTTCTGCTAAGGTTGCTTCTGACGGGCTTGTGACCAACTCGGTAAAAAACCATAGTGCTTATAGTTGGAATAATTTCAAAGTGAAATTGGAAAAGCAATTTTCAGGTAATAAGTTTCTTTATCTTACCCTATCTAATTTCTCGCATTCGTCATACTTTAAATGTTGAAATATTTAGGACAATGTTTTATTTAAGTTTGTGGTAGGATTTAGAAATTGTAGATGTTTTAGGATTTAATTTTGAAACTTTGAGGACAATATTTGAGAGTCGTTGGCCTAAAACTCATTACACGGGTTAATTAGTATTTTTTTTTTTTTTTTTTTTTTTTTGTTTGGGGGGAAACTGAACATTGCATGGTCACCAAGTTATTAAATATATATATATATATGCCTTGGTTTGTTATTTGCAATGAAATTTGACAATACTTGAAATAATGAGGTTAGTGTGATTGGAATTGATTTTTGCCCTGCAGGTGTGTTGGTCCACATTACACCAAAGGAAAAAAATGAAAATTTTACTAAATGGTTATAGTGTCTTCGACTTTAAGTTGGGATTGGTTTTGAAAATGTGTTTGCTCTTTTAAAAATTTCCATGAGTTGAAATTCAGATTTTTCTTGCTTTGTTATTCTTTTTTATGATGGTTGGGCATTTGAAATAATTTTTAAGTTTGATAATTTAACTTCGCATTTCGATGTTTGTGGGTATCATCACTGTAAACCCACAAGACTATAACTCGTCCACTAGGGCAACCTAGAAGTTTAAAGGCTTGTTGCATACGCTAAATGCAATTGAGATCCCTATGAAAGTGGCTTAGTTAATTTTCATTTATTCTATGTTTCTAATTTTTGTTTTGCTCTAGGACTAGTTGTTGAAGGAAATAAAGGCTTTTATTAATTTAGTTCAACCCATTTAAAATAGTGATATCTCTTAATTACAATCCTTTATGATGAACATCAGTTCATTGGGATTTATTTGAGATTTCTAGTGGTGGATGTTTGAACGGAGATTTCGTGTTAGGATAAACCAGAAATTCAAATTTGGTTGTGGTTGCATCTAGTGAGATGTCAGACTACCTACATACCCTAGGCGGAATCAAATCAACATAGTTCAAATATGAGTTTTTGATGATGAAGATTTGTGTGGTTTTGTACAACTTAGGCTTTGATTTAGGATTTGGGGAATTAATGGGTTTTTGGGATTTGAGCCCATTAATCCGGAATTTGTGTATTTGAAAACTTGAACCAATTGTTTGCCAATTGAATTTTCAATGGACAAGTCAATTGGGCTCTGAATGAACTCTTTGCACCAATTGGCACTTAGAACCCAGCAGCTGCCTCCATGGATCAATTACTTGTCGATTATGAGACTTCTTTGATGGGGTTTGGACCTATTTTTTTGGTCTGTTCACAACAACCTCTTTTACATTGTATTTTGTCCCAAATGCACATGTAGGTGCATGAACCAAAGAAACAACCCAATCTTGTTCTTGTCTTTATGTGCAGCAAGAAAATTTTAATTTGCAATCCAAGCTGTGAAATAAGGATTAATTGCATATTTTTTTTCATCCCTAAAATTACTTTAGCTTAGTTTTCTTTGGATTTATTGCTTTGTTTTTGTCAATTTTGATTGTCTAGATATCAATAAGAAATAAGGATATTTTGGTGTTCATTATTCTTGAATTGGCACAAGTGCAACAACTCTCGGAAGAAGCTCTTACATGTCAATGTGCTGCAAGGTTGATGACATTGGGGTGAATGGCAATGACAAGTGGGCTACTGTATGAATGAAGTTTTTGAACACCAGCTCGTGAGAACCTTGCAAGAGAGAAGAATGGGCTATTACTATGCTGTTTTTGTAAGGCAGTTAGGACTTTTTATTTTTATTTTTATTTTTAATTTTTATCGCTGGTTATTTAGATATATTTTGTTAGATTAAATCCAAACCATTGAATGTGCTTTAATCTAATGATTCATATTGTGTGTCATAATGTGTGTTAAAAATGTGTGTTTCCGAATCCTGACCCTATTTTGTATGGTTCACCATGTCACTCGAGCAGGTATTAGTTTCCTTGTCCCTGTTTGTAGCAAAGCACTGTATGACTATACGACTATGCACCAAAAAGAATCAAACTTTGCAGTCCAAACTAGCTAGCTGGTTGGTCCAGCTTATTCGAATATTTCTCTGTATGGTTCATCCTACTTTGTCCAAAGGGAACAAGTGAAGTATCCCGTTATATAAGAAACTTGATCAACAAAGTAACTAACTATTCAACTTGAAGCTTAGTTTGCCAGAAGCTGGGCAGTGGTTCTATATTTAATATAAGAAATATAAGAAATTTGTTAAGAGATGAAGGAGAAAAGAGTAAGGCAGGTAAAATTAAGCCAAGAAACCATTTACAACTGTTCAGTTTTTAGTTAAAAAACCAGATACGTCTCTTTCTTTAATTTAGTAGAATAAACCCGGACACGAAACAAATTTGCACAAAATATTACTTGGATCGGGCTTAATGGGTCATGTTGAAAACAGGTAGCCACTGGTTAAACTAACGTTAGCTAGTATTCATTAAGAGGGGTATTTTTATAATTTTAATACAACTTAATCAATGAAAAACTTAAAATAAAATATGTTAAAAATGAAACCATCCAGCTCCATCCCCAAAATCCAACACTCATCTTCTTCTCACCATCAGCGCTTACCTAGCCCCCACAAACATTGGGAGCACAAAGAATGTCCTACCATGACAAAGTTGAAAACTGGAAATTGGACATAGCGCCGCCCATGTGGGTGGGGAGGGAGGGAGGGAGAGAGGTTGGGGGTTGTGGTTGCATGCGCTTGTGTGTGTGAGTGTGTTTTTTTTTCACGTCGTGTCATTCTCGAATTGTAACGGGTTGTGTTTCTGTCGGTTATTTTCCACCCATTAATTTAAAGGGTTATTTCACGTCAACTAATTAAAAAAATGGAGTTTCACTAAAACACCCAAGATGGGAGATGAAATTATAAAAAAACCCAACACCCAAAACACTTTATAAACACACCCAAAATCCATCATTACACACTCAAACCCCATTTATAAACACACCAAAAAAAAATACAATTGTTGACTTTGGGGTTGATTTTGGATGTGTTTCTATGTTTAAATAGTGTTTGAGTTTTTTTTTTTATAAATACATGAGGATTGGGTTTATTTATAAATTTGTATTAAAAAAAGCATGTTGACACGAACATGGCAAATATGACTTGTTTGCCAGGTTTAACAAAATGATGAAGATTGGAGCAATGCTCTTATTTTTGTCAACTTTCTAAAGGTGTTTTATGAGCCACATTGAAGATGAGTCTTTCTTTACATCCGGCTTCCAACACCACCTTTGATGACTTGATTGCAATGAAAGGTGAAATTGAGGATTTGGTCATGAGAGATTATATGATGGAAATTGAACCCCATACTTCCAAGCCAGGGTATTGAATGATATGACATAAAGCATGAAGAAAAAATTTGAGATGTATTGGGATAACATAGATAAAGTGAACCAACTTTTGTTGGTAGCACTTGTGCTTGATCCTTGATTCAAGTTGGGCAACTTAGAGTTTGTCTTGAAGAGTCGGTATGAAAGATCGAAAGATGCTAGTAAGAAGAAGAATGATGTGATAGTTTTATAATGAAACTCTAAGAAGAGTACGATATCCCACAACCACCACCCACTCATGAATCTAGTGCTCTACTAGTGAAGCTATTAATACTAGTACCACTAAGAATGCAATTGGTGGAAAATTAGGTAAAATAATCTCAATCAAGTGATGCCGAACCAACTTTTTTGAAAAAATGGTTCCCAACTTTGACATTTTGAAATGGTGGAAATTGCATGGAGTTAAATATCTAGAGTTGTCACTTATTGCAAAGGATATACTTAGAATATGAGTCAACCATTCAAGAAATGCAATTTTATGAATCAATTGAGTCAGTTACTAATTTATGTTTTTATGTGATTTAAAGTTTATATTTTGTAGATCTTAGAAGCTCATCTGCACCAAACAATTCAACCCATGCTACTTTCCAGTGAGACTGTATTAGAGGTATGGAAATAAGAAAGTAAATTTAGGTTTTAGTCACAAAAAGACTTTCACTTTTGGAAAAAACCAAAACTTATCCAAAAAAGATAGAAAAACTCATCAACTTTCAATCCAAAGATATGTAAATATAAAAGATTTCTTAGGAAATCCAAAAATAAATAAGGGCATTTTTGTCCATTTTGGCTTTTTTCCAAAATATTTCTCTCTCCTTTGGCTTTTTCCAAAATGTCCCGACAAGACCAAGTCTTGTCTTCATGATTGAAGTATGTAAATTCACAACTGATGGTGTTACTTGGTTTATACTTGATATTAACTCACAAGGCTTGAGTCGAATATCAAATTGAGCTTTCACAGGGACATTGAGCTTTCATTCCAGCAAGTTGAATCGAATATCTGTCTAAGCAATCCAACTTACAACACAACAACAAAATATTGCTGGAATTGCTTAGACAGAAATTGAATAGTCAATATTCTTTTGACCAAAAGATAAAGCACAGCTTTTCTAAGATCTTCCCCATTCCAACGACCACCTTGAATAAATTACAAACCTTTAGGTCCCAATCAATATTACTCTGCTGAGAGACATCAAGGAGATGGAATAGAGGAAAAAGGACTCAAATACGAGTCCAGGAAAAGATAAGCTCACCATTACCAACGGTTCATTACCATTACAAAGTAGATCTCTAGCCTCCGAAATTGCTTTCCAGGAGCAGCAAAAAAGGAGTGATGAAACTAATAAATTTTTCATACAAGTTGAACTCACCATTTTTGAGGCAATTAAGAACATTCCAACCCAATTTTGCAAGAGCTGCAAGGTTAACAGATTTCCTTCCAAGCAATAGGAGGGGCCCTATGTCCATCCTTTCTCCAGAAAAATTACCGAGACAAATTATTAAGACAAATTACCAGCAATATTAGAGGAAATCTGGGGAAAGGATGGAAATAGGGGCCCTATTTGCAATAGGAGCTGCAGTAAGTTACCTTTCCAAGAAGAGAATTTCCTCTGAGCAGTCCAGGAAATCCGAGGTATTAAAGGAGTCCTTCCACTTCAGGATATTATTTATTCCAAGATGCCTTTCCAGAGTAACTTTATGTTGTATTTGCAAAAATTGGACCAATTGTTGTCGGCAAGCATTAGAAACATTTTTGGAAAAAAGGAAAGGACTTATGGAAGCTAATCCTTTGTCCAGTTGCTAAAGCAAAGAGAGGTAGTAAGGTAGAAATCCTTCTGGCCGCCTTCACTGTCGCCTCTGCAAAGAAAAGTAGCAATATCTCATAGTACATACAGTAAACTATGCATGTAGCCAGTCCAATCCTAGTCACCAAACATGGCCGATAAGAATTGCATGAAACAAGTGAAATTCTCTTCATCTAAACGCCATCTAGAACACTACCTATAGCTTCAAAAATAATGGAAGCCAAACTTTCATCAGCAGTACTAATAACAGTGCTTGTTGTTCTGACTTCTATAAGAGCTTGGTTGGGATCATGGACATGTACTAGAGAAGCACTTTCTGATTCAGAACCAAATGCATCCCCAAGCGTTGCCTTGATGCCCTTGTTTGATAACACAACCAAAAGCTTCTCCAAATCAGGTGAACCCCAGTGTACCAGCGGTCTACTCTCTGGGGACTCTTGATTGCCAGTGGACAACCGTTGTCTGCCATGATCTACGCAGAGCTCTCCCTTTAACCTCGTCATATTAATATTTTCTTGTTTCCAGTTCCTCCAATTAAACTGGGAAGCTAAGTCTGTTGCAATCTCTAGTTCTGAATTGTTCTTCAAGCTTGGTATATGTAACGTTTCATTAACGCAGTACTGAAAGGTCGAGCATGAATTTGATTTCAAAGAGCTAATCTGCTTCAAATCTTTAGGTAGCTATTTTGAGCAGAAAATAACAGGGGACTTATTAAAGAGATGAAATCTAATATATAAACAAGATAAAAAAAATTTGATTATACAAAGAGAACAAAATGGAACTACCAGAACAACTTTTGGTTGCAATATCTTCAGCAACGGTTCAACATTCTGCAACCTACAGAAAGAAAATATCCCGATAGAAGAAGTTAAGATGAATTCAGAAGTTGCTTAACATTTCAAAGAAGGAGTTGTTCAACAGAGTGATAAGGGGAGTTAACATATTAAGAACCTAAGTAGAAAATTACATGCTAAATCTTGTTTTTTGGTTGAAATTTGTGTTCTTTTTTGGGTAGAAAGTTGCCTGCTAAGTGTCAAGACAAGTTAGTAGTTACAAAGCAGATAACTTGTAAACAAAAGCCCTTCTAAAATGAAAACAAAACAATATAACTGATATGCCTTCTGACTGGAAAAATAATACTCATTTTCAAACATGCAAAACAGCTGTCAGTGCCACAACTTCACACGTTACTCACATTTGGAGCCCAAAGGCTGCCGATACATTTACGATATTAGCATAGCATGTCAGAGAACTCTATACGCCCAGCAAACGTTCACTAAAACCAGTGGTTTCCTCCACTCCAATCATCCATCATTTCACAATTTCATGAGGTTGATCCCTATGGTTTGCATTTATACTTTCAAACGTTCTGTGGAGTGTAATCCACATGGGTTGGTGCTTATTATGGTATTTGGTTGTTGTTAAGATTGCCACATTACAATAATATGAATAAATCAAAATGTTGTGTCAGTTTCAAGAAAAGAAGACAAACCCTACCTTATGCCAGAGAGAAATGAGCATTCAAGAACCTTCATTTCCATAGGCTTGAAAGGCAAGAGAGCCAGATCAACATCCGGTCCACTCTGCAAATCAAGCAGTAACAATTTAAGCATATATAGTTTCCATCCAGACACAAGGTAAAACTTTTTTTTTATGTACACATGTGAATGTTCAACAGCCAGTGAAAGTATATAGTAGCACCTCAAGAATGAGTAGAGAGTTTTGATCCCCAGACCAACGCTGGAGCAAATGAACAGCAGGACCTAGCCGTAGACTCCAGTGAGGAGAGAAAACAATGCATGGTTCCTGCCAATTCATTCTATCACAAATGTCAATTGTGCATCTTTATCACAACTCACAAGTATTCTTACTTTTCTTTTGGCATACATTGATTTCTGATTAATATCCCCAGAAGGACAGGAAATACACTGCTTCCTGTCGTTTCCCCTTCCACCTTTAATCATGACAAATCTCATAATAGGTGAGCAACAACATTTGGGCTATATGAAGCAGATAGTTTCCCCATGTTTGGCTTAGGAATGAAGAAAGGAAAAGATAATAATATAATCAAGGTCCCCAACTTTCCATTTTTTGGTTATTAATGAAAACAAAAAAATAACTGAGTTTCATCCCAAACTTCGTCCACAAAAGAGGTGAGATTGAAGTGATAGTTGGCTAATAGACACAAAACTTGATAAAATCAGCCAAATCGAAAGCCATTAATCTATGCAAATCTCATTTAGGCTAAGGTATATAATGTAGAAACTGTATATTCAATTATAATATTTGAGATATTACAACCAATATTAATACACAAACTATTAAGATATTTCCTGGTTGTTACAATGAAACGGAAAACCCATTATATCCTAATAAAGGCTAATAACAACATAACAGCTAAAACACTAATGTATTGTCATTGAAGACCCTTAACTATGGTAACTCCCGTAACCCCCTAACACTCCCCCGCAAACTTGACGCCGGAGAGGTGACAAGTTAGGAAATAAGACTTGAAAAGAAGGAATATAATAAAGATGAGGAATGGAAACAAAAGAAAATTCATCACATGGAAAGCAGAAAGGGATGCATGCAGAGAGAAAAGAAGGAATATTTGAAGGGAATAAAGGGGTTAAGAGAGGATGCAGCACAACAGTAGAGGATAGGAGGTGAAACCAACTTGGGACACAAAACGAGAGCATGGGCAAGTTTGAATTTCAAAGCATCATAGAAACAATAAGGTATGGGGAAGAAAACCACGGGGGAACAGAGAAGTAATAAAGAAAAGATTATCACAAGAGGATAGAGGCCCATGTAGATTAAAATAAAGAGGGATGATTGACCCAAAAAACAATAATAAGAAATAAAGGACGAAACCAAGTGAGACAGAGAGGAAAAGAGAGTGTGGGCAAAACACAAAGTTAAAATCCTTTCAAAATAAAGATGGAAAATGGAGAGAAAGAAAGATAGGAGAAAAGGTAACACTCATCAAAAGGAGAAAGTAGTCAAGAGAGGGAGAGAGAACAAGATGCAAGAGACAACCCATGAAAAGGAAAGGAAATTCAAGAGGCCAGAGACAACCCATGACAAGGAGAGAGACAACACAATTGAAAAGAAGAGAAGAGAATACCCCAATAACATAAAAGAATTATAAAGAAAAGAAGACAGTACCCTTGTAACAGAGAAGAAGAAAGGCAACGCAAGAGAGCATTGAAGAAGACAGAGACCAAAAGTAAAATCAAAGAAATAGACTGGGCATAAGAGGGGAGGAGAAACACAGGTTGAGCATAGATAAAGCGTGAGAGGCCGATACCAAGGCAGCAACACAGTGAGAAGGCTTGAGTGGCCGATACCAAGTCGGCAACACAGAGGAAGAAACAGGGGCTGTGCAAAGGGAACACCGGCAGTGTAGCATGACAGAGAAGGCTCGGCGAGCGTTGACGAGGCTCACGGAGGAAAGAGAGATGGCTCGGTGAGCGATGACAGGCAGCATCAACAAACAAGGAGAAAGTATGGAAACCACAATAGAAAAACCATCAGAAATACATGAGAGAGAGAAACCATAAGAAATACATGAGAGAGAGAAACCACGATTGCATACTAGGATAAGGCTCGGTGAGCATTGACAAGGCTCGCGGAGGGAAGAGAGACAGCTCGGCAAGAGAGACGGCGCAAGAGAGACAAAGAAGGGGACAGAGATTTCAAGAGAAAGAGAGAAACCAAGAGGGTAAGGAAAAGTTCAAAAAGCTTATGAGACAAAGACGTGGACAAAAAAGGGGAGCTTATGAGAACAAAAAGCTCAAGAAGGATAGGCAGCGGCTGTGCAAGAGAACAACAATGGCAGGATAGCACAACATGAGAGAGATAAAGGCCAGGGAGGAGACAATCCACAATGAAGACGGCGCTATGGAGACACAAAAATAACGGGCTAACAGAAGAAAAGGTTGCAATGGTAAAAGAAAGGTGCGGCTACAGCTAAGGTGGAAAGAAAAAAAACATATTCATCTTTGAGAAGAGGAGATGAAAAAGCACTATACATAAACAAACACCCTTAAGGGTGAGGAATGAGGAATGCCAACAACTCTCAATGTTGGCAATTGGAGGATCGCTAGGCGTTAGCCATTAGCTCTGATACCATGTAGAAACTGTATATTCAATTATAATATTTGAGATATTAAAACCAATATTTATAAACAAACTATTAAGATATCTTCCTAATGGTTACAATGAAACGGAAAACCCATTATATCCTAATAAAGGCTAATAACAACATAACAGCTAAAACACTAATGTATTGTCATTAAAGACCCTTAACTATGGTAACTCCCGTAAACCCCTACCATATAAGTTCTGAATATTGACTCCACAACAGTGACCATGAAGAAATATTCTAAAATAAGGACAAATGTGGAACTCACAATAATTTAGGTGAATGAACTGCCGGAAACACATGAAGCTTCTTCTCATTTACAAGCTTGGCATGTGCAAACAATGGCTCACCAGAAAAGAGCTGCAAGACCAATTAAAAAAGAGTGACTGCAATGTCTTAAGTTGGCAATTCTAACAATTAAATGAAATCTCCAAGCACAATGTGATGAATAATAAGCTCAACATTTTTACCTTTTCTTGCCGCTGTTTGCATAGCCATTCAGGTATGATGTTGGAGAAGGCCAAGAATTCTTCAGCTAGAGAAGAAATAATATACATAGGAACCTGAAACAAGACGAGAATTCCACATATGCTCCATTATATGCCATAAAAGTAACACTTTGCCACATTTCTGTATCGAAGACTATTATGTCTCAGCATGTAACTAATAACCTCTAAAATTTTATAGAACTCCTGTTAAGCATCATCTTCTAGAGAAATACAATTAGTTAATTTCGATACTTCTGGTAGGACTTAAAACACTGAAGCAAGTAAGCAAAAGACAAAAAAAATTTATAGATACCTTCAAAGTTGAAACATCTAGTGAAGTTGATATCTGTTCTAACAGCAGCAGAACAATTCCAAGTCGACTAATGGGAATAAGGACTGAACCTCCAGCTTTTACGGAATCAATGACACAGGAGCATATAAAAGCTAGCTTGTCCCTTTCCTCCAACCCCTCATCAACATTAAGTAAGGACTTGGCCAACTCTTGACAATCATTTTCATAATTTCTGCACGCATCAATTCCAATAGTTTAAAGCTTTGATTTTCACATTTTGAGGATATTGACTTAGAAAAGTTAAAACCTTTATACCAATAAAGAACAAATCTGGAAAATTTATCAAACCTCATAAATAAATAAATAAAGATGGCAAATGCTATGTAGGCGTAATACCTGAGAGATGACCGATTGCAAGTAGTTGGAATGGAGTTATCATAACCACTCTCAACATCTTCCGTACCATCCGAGAATGAGAAATCTGAATATATTATTATATCATTCCCTCGAAGAGCATTGTAATCAAAATTCATTGCATGAGCAGAATCAAAGATGGAACTTGAAATAAAGCCAACGCCTCCCTTGGGACCATTTATTGTCCAATTACAAGAGCCTATTTCTAAACCCGAACTGAATGCCTTTATGATCAATGTGCTGTTGTAGCAGATTTCCTCTGCATATTTAAGTCTCAGAACCTTCTGCATGCAATCCTTCACATCAGCTGCACTGAGAAGTAGACACAATCTCTATTACATTCTCATATAGAGACTTGCTATATAGATATTTCAGACAATATGAGGGGTAAAAAACAACCAAGTATATTAGTCAGACAGTGTTACATCCAGATATGCCAATTTGAACCACATCCTACTAACCACCTGAAAAATAGCTCAGACTGAAGTCCAGTAACATAACATGTCAGACTGTCTGACAAGAGAACATTTCCTTGATCTACACCCTAAGGAAATTTCATAGATTCAAAGTTAGGAAAATGTCAAAGAAATTTAGCTTCTTCTCCATCACCTGCCAATGGAGAAGCTGATGATGACAGCAATTCCAGATCACAAATTTATAAAGAGGTTATCTATGTAGAGGAAACATGTCCAAGTGCAACAGCATGCATAACAAGACTCTTTAATTAGATACAACTTTCTGGCAGTTGGCATATTCCACCAAGAAAATCTTTTTTTTTTGGTCAAGAATATTTTTCTTTTTTTAGTCAAGAAAATCTAATCATGAAACAAACAACATTAACTATTTGGGTGGAATATTAATTTACCTGTACAAGGAAAGCCAACCACCCAGTTCTCCCCCATCTTTGCCTAAAGCTACATTTTTCAATGAAGACGGAAGAAGTGTAAGGTCTTCCCACTTCATCCACTGGGGAAAAGACGACTCATCAGGTCCAAAAAACTGCCTGATTTCCAGATGCATTGAAACAAGATCCTCCATCATAAGCTGTCCAAGTCTTGCTGCTGCTTCAGTCACATATATCTGACACATTTTAAGCACCAAAAAAAACTACTAAAACCAGATTCAATTTGGCAGAAACGTCAGAAGTCAAAGTTAACAACTAATTAACAACTAATTCCTTAATGTATTTACCTTAGCAGAAAAACCCTTCATTCGAGTAAGAAATGGTAATCCTAGCATACCCGTTGGACTTGATATCAATACCACATCAATAAAAGAGACATTCCACAGGTGCAAGTTCTTGACAGTTTTGTACCAAGGCTCTGCATAAATTAAATCATCGGCATCCAGGGGCTTTTCGACTTTTTGTCTCTTCCGAACCATAGGCTCCTCCAAATCTGAAGAATCACTACGGTTTGGGCAACTGGGATTCTCTTTATCGAAGGAACTGGATTTTGAACTAGTAGGAATAGGGGAGAAGATTGTAAGAGCTGAAAGGTCTAATGGGCAATCTAATAAAATGCTAAAACCACATATGTTGAGTATGTGACATGGTGGGAAATGGTAACCACCACCTTTGCTCAAGCAGGACTGCAAAAACAAAACAAAAAACAGAATCATAAAAATAACGTATAAAAAATAATCCCCACAATTTTTTTTTAATATTTATATATGAATAATCCATATGTATGTAAATATTGACAAAGAAACTTACAAACTTCATTGGCAACACACGAACACTGGAGCTTTCCCCTGCAACAATAACTTCTAATCATTCATGAAGAGAAAAGAGATTTAACTCTTGGGTGCTGAGGCTGTATATTAAACTAGGATCCTCCATTCACATTCACTTGAAAACCTTTTTTTTCTCCTTTTGGGAAATAGTCTCAAGCTATAAACCTAAACAAAGCAATGAGGGTAAATTATGAAGTTCATCAACCAATGAACTAAGTAGTAAATAGGAAATCCCAGTGAACCCTATAATGCTACAACAATCAATGCTTCAACATAACCAGGAATTAATACTATAATCTTATTCAAAGCTAACCCTGAAGATATCAAAAATTGAAGTGGGTATTAATGATTCAATAGCTGAAGCAAAGTAGAGGAAAAAGAAACAAAAGAATAAGGAGGAATGAGGGCAAAGTTAAATTACTTTTGAATCAGAACCCCCAATTCTGCTCTGCTCTGTCCTTAGGATATTTCGGCAATAAGCAGTCAGCCAAGTCGGCCAATCAAGGTGGTCAAGTGACCCCCCAACGCAATAAACCGCCGCCTGAGCCAAATTTCTTGAACCCCGGACTGCTGGAAGTCTAGGCAAGCATTGCCCCCCCAAATGTTCGACGTTTTGCCCCAATCAACCAACAGGCACTTGTCAAAAAAAAGAGTCTGGGGAAACATCAACATCAAAAGGTGGGGCAGGTTGGGTGGTCAGAAACCATGCTGGTTTGCTGTTGAAGGCAGGGAGGGCTTTAGTCAATCTGCTCTCATGGCGGAAGCAGAAGCGATACAACAGAATAGAGGTGGAATCTGAATGTTCGTGCTATTGGAAAGGAATCAGATTTTTAGGTTTAGGGAGCCTGGATTTCTGCTGGAATTTAAATTGTCCAATAACAAGTTAATGAGGGGGAGAGAGTGGAAGTTTTAATCTTAACGATGTTGATTTGTTTTGAGGAGATTAGGGTTGGAGCAAAATAGCCTCTTGACACTCTCACATGCGCGCCAATCAGGTTTTTTTCAAAATTAATATATGTTTTTTTTTAATTATATATTTTTTCTCCTTTTAGCTTTAATTATTAAAACAAAAGTATAAACAGGGCAAAAGAGTAGGGTTTTTTTATAAATAAATAAAAACACCATAGATAGTCTAAAATATAAATGAGGGAAATTTCTCACACACAAGTATGGGAGTTTGAAACATGCGAGTCAAGGCTCTTTTCCGCTGTTTTTATTTAAATGATTAGTTAATTACCATTTTACCTTCAAGAAATTAAATTGTGGTCTTTTAGCACTTTAATTAATCAAGGGTATTTTAGGAGTTTTAGAAAGTTTCATCAAAAGTGGAACCCTTCTACCCTTTAGATATAGATAAAGCTTGCATTGTGAAGTGGCTAGGGGTGGCATTTTAGACCAAAAAATCGCAAAAATCAACTGGAAATTTACCACAATGGAACCGCAATCGCAGGAAATCGAACCGCATTTGTGGTATGAAGAACCGAACTGCATTTGCAGTTGCTGTTACGGTATTTGATTTTCAAAACTTGCGGTTACCGCAAACCGCAACTATATTTTATTTTATTTTTTTTAAATTGCATTTTATAGATAGCATTGGTGCTCAAACAACACAACGGGGTCCTTCAAATCCACTCACCACCACCAACACTTGAGTTTGTAACATTGGTGCATTGCATTTTCATTTTAGTTTGTAACTTTAATTAACTTTGAATTGGATTTTTCCATTGGGTTGTAACTTTAATTCATTTTGCATTGCATTTTCCTTTTGGTTTGTAACTTTAAAGGATTTGGAATTGAAATGCTTGAGAAGTTGAGGTTGTAAATGCTTGAGAAATTTAACTTTAATTGGAATGCTTGGAATTGTAACTTTAATTTTCTTTAGGTTGTGAATGCTTGAGAAGTTGACGAGGTTGTGAATTTATATATGCTTGAGAAGTTGAGGTTGTGAATTTATATTTTTGGGTTAAAGTATGCTTGAACTCAAAAGGCTTCAAAAGAAATATCAAAATTAGGCCTAAAATGTGGAAGATTGGATTTTTATGACACAAAAAGAACTTGCGGTTTTAAACCACTAATTCACAGTAACCAACCGCTTTTTGTGGTTAACCGCATTGTGGTAAACTGCAAAAAGCGGTCGGTTGCAGTTTGGGCAAAAATTCGCGGTTACCGAACCGCAACCACCCCTAGAAGTGGCTGCAGCAAAATGAAATTTTGCTTTGTTCATCAATGGCGATTCTAGGATTTAAAAGTTACATACTAAACTCGATGGTATGAGTGGATTTCGTTAATAAACATATAAAGATACACATAATCAGAGGGACGTTTTGAGCCTTACCCTCAAATGCATCTCTATCAATAAATAAAAGTTTAACAAATACAAAAACTAAAACTAGACAACGTAATCCTGAATCACACTTAAGATAATTGATATTAAAATCTTGATCATCATCGACATTTTGATTCTCAACTCTTTTAACTTGAGACTTAATAACAATGGGTGATTCTGGAAGATTTTGCCACAGAAGAGAAATCAACATCTCAACAAAAACAAACCAATTCTCATAATAGCATCAATGCATTTAATCAAACATAACATCACAAATCAAACATCTCAAAAATACCAACAACAAATCAAACATCTCAACAAAATTCCTAAAATCAAAGCCCTAATTAATTTCAACAAAATTCCCCAATTTTAATTCATTCATAAACCCTATAATACTCAATTTCAAATTAAAGATGTATAAGATAATTAAAAGGGAGAGAATGAGAAGAATAATTGTTGCCAAAAAGAGAAGTTATTGCTAGCCAGAGGAGAAGTTGATGTGGACAAGAGAAGTAGAGGAGAAGTTGCTGCAGAGAAGAGGAGAAGTTGCTACAGAGAAGAGGAGAAGTTGATGTGGACAAGAGAAGTAGAGGAGAAGTTGCTACAGAGAAAAGGAGAAGTTGTTGTAGACAAGACAAGAGGAGAGAAGCTACCCATTCAATATATTTTTTGGAAAACTTTGGGTCCTGCCCTTATTACTCATTGTGTAATTTTTTCCATAAAGAAAGTGATTAGCTAATGCAAAACAAGGTTTATTTTGTTAATTTGGTTTTCACCTAGATGAAATCCAACAAGGGGCCAATCTTGAAATATATTTCTTCTTATATTCCTATTTAGATTGGTGCACTAGATACTAAGTTATATCAGGTTTGATAGGAGTTTAAATTAGGTTATACCTTAGGGCCCAAGACTTTGTGAAATAAGGAATGTTTTGAAGCCAATTGAAAGGGTTCAATTTATTTCCTTTTGCTTGAATCGTTGCTTGATGAGCTTAAAGTGTTAGTCAAGTCAACCATCGATGAGTAGAGACGACTTGACCTAACCCTATATAAGCTTATGATACAAGTGGATCCTCCGTATGTAATACAATATGATATTAAATCCATATCATATTATATTACTTAATTATCATTTTATTTAATTATTATAAACCCATTAAAAGTTTGCGGTTCAAACCTAATGGATTTGAAACAGCTCAAACTTAAAGCTCTTTGACAAAAGAAGAAGAAAGCAATGGCAGAAGGAGAAGGAACCGATGCAAAGATTGCGTCGTTGGCCCAACAAATGGAGAAAATGACGCTGATGATGGCAAAGTTGGTGGAGGATCTTGCAAGCAAACCGCAAGATGAGATTCCTGAAGATTCCATAAGGAAGACCTCAAGAACTAAAACATCAAAAGTTAAGAAAAAGGTGCAATTTAGTGAAGAGGAAGATTTCGATAAGGAAGAGGAGTCTGCAGAGCAGTTTGGTGCAGATCAAAGCCAAGAGAAGGAATCAGATGCTGATAAAGCTAGTAAGTCCAAAACTTCTATGAATGGTCTTAAAATTGATGTTAAGATTGATATTCCAGCGTATGATGGTGAGATCAATGCCGAGAAGTTGGATAATTGGATTGACCAGTTAGAAACTTATTATACTATTTATGAGTATAATAACCGTCAAAGGATCAACTTTGCAATGTTAAAGTTGACCAACCATGCTTTGACATGGTGGAAGGCTTATAACAAACGTTATAGTATAACGACTATGACGGGGAAAAAGTTTAAGCGAGCCATAAGAAAGCAGTTTTACCCTGTTGGCTTCGAAGAGGATAGATGGTTCAAGTGGCAGCATTTGAGGCAGAGTTTTAGACAGTCGGTACAAGATTATGGAGTCAAGTTTCAAAATTAGGCTATGGTGTTGGACATAGACTTGGAATACCATGAACTCCTTATGAAGTTTATTGGGGGGCTTGTGAGCATTGCAACAAACCAGGTCATAGTAAAGAAACATGTTACATTCTTCATCCCGAGCTTAGGGAGAAAGAAAAAGAGAAAAGAAGTAACCGAAAAGATCTTAAAAGAGCATTGAATGCTAACAAGACTGTGGAGATTCCAAAAATGATGCAACTCGACACGAAGTTGACTCTCATGACCCAGAAGCTTGTTCCTCTGGAAGGTAGTGAAGACTTGTTTAATGTTCGTATACAAGTAAAGCACGATTTGATAGACACTATAATTGATCCGGGAAGCCAAAAGAATCTCATTTCAGAGGTATTAGTCCGGAAGTTGCAGTTAACAACCACTCCTCATCCTAACCCATACCCGTTGGGATGGATACAGAAAGATGTTGAGTCACAAATTACTCAACAATGTACTTTCAAGTTTGCAATTACTAGAGAATACATTGACGAAGTGACTTGTGAGGTAGTACCATTGGATGTATACCAAGTAATTTTTGGTAGTCCACACTTGTGGGATCGTGATGCAGTGTTCTATCGACGACATCAAAAGTATAGATTTCTGAAGGATGGAGTAGAGTACTTCATTCATGCCAGCAAAGTTTCCTTGAGTAATAGTTTGATTAGTGCTAATCAAGCTAAAAGGATGGTGAATGCTTGTGGGAAGTTCGTCTTATTGGTGGTTCGACCATGAGAAAACACCCCATCTACATATGTGTTATCTACTATGATGCTTACTCCTAGATAGAAACTTGATATGGAGGAGTTACAATTGGAATTCTCAGACTTGTTTGAGAATGTTGAAGGTTTACCACCGCAGTGCCAAACAGAGCATGAGATATAACTCATTGGAGAATCTACATTTCCTAATTTGGGTATGTATCGTCATTCAGTGCAGAAGAGCGAAGAAAAAAAGAGACAAGTCAAAGAGCTCCTAGAGCAAGGAGTATTGAAGCCAAGCTGCTCACCTTATGGATCCCCAGTATTGTTGGTCCCAAAGAAAGATGGCAGTTGGCGTATGTGTATTGATTTTTGGGCACTCAATAAAATCACTATTAAAAATTAGTATCCATTACTGAGGATAGATGATTTAACGGATCAACTACAGTCAGCTCGATGGTTCACCAAACTAGATTTGAAGTCTGGTTATCATCAAGTCAGAATCAAAGAATAAGATACATGGAAAACTACATTCAAAACCAAACAGGGCCTCTTCGAGTGGCTAGTGATGCCGTTTGGTTTATGCAATGCTCCGGCAACATTTATGCGTCTCATGAATGAGGTACTTCGTTCATACATTGATGATTTTGTCATTGTTTACTTGGACGATATCTTGGTGTTTAGTCCTACTTAGGAAGAACATTTGATTCATGTTGAGAAAGTGTTGGAGACATTGAGGCAATATCAGTTATGACTGAATCTGAAGAAATTCGAGTTTGGGAAGAGTTCTCTAGTATATCTTGGTTTTATAGTTGGTGACGGAGAATTGAAAGTTGATCCGTCCAAGATGTAGGCTATTACAGATTGGCCTAGACCTTGTACAATAACTGAAGTACGCAGCTTTATGGGAGCTTGTTAGTATCTACGTAAGTTTATCCGCCATTTTTCTCAAATTTCTAGGCCATTATTTGAATTGACTAAGGCAGAAAGAAAGTTTGAATGGTTAGATAAGCATGAAAATACTTTTAGATTGCTTAAAAAGAAGATCTCAGAAGCTCCAGTTTTAGCTTTACCCAATTTGCAAAGATCATTTGAGGTAGAAACGGATGCGAGTAATTATGCCTTGGGTGGCATTTTGAAGCAAGATGGGAAGCCAGTTGAGTATTATTCTGTGATGTTCAATGCTGCAGTGCAAAATTATCCTACTTACGATAAGGAGTTGTTTGCCTTACACTAGTGTGTGAAATATTGGAGATGCTACCTATTAGGTAAGGAAGTGATAGTGCACTCACACCACAAGCCTTTGCAGTACTTACAGACATAGTCCAAGTTGAAGCAAGCTCGACACATGAAGTGGATGTCCTACTTGCAACAATTCAACATCATTATCAAGTATAAGAAATGGGTTACAAACAAGTTGGCAGATATGTTGTCTAGACCTCCAGGACATTCCGCTTTATTGGTGGCTATGCAACTCCAACCTGTGATACTTTTCGAGTACGTAACAAGTTATGATAATGATCCAGAATTCAAATTGTTCTTTGATAAGCTACAACATGGGAAGCCATGCCAATTTGAGATGAAGGATGGTTTAATATTCAAGGGAAAACAACTATGCATCCCCAACAATGGAAACCGATTGCGATGGATAAGGGAGGTTCATACTTCTAGATGTGCAGGTCACTTCGGAGTTGACAAAACCCTCCTTAATCTACAACGTTATGTTTATTGGCCTCAGATGCATGTAGATGTTTCTCATTTTATTCGAGGTTGCGTGTTATGCAACACCCATCGAGGAAGTTGGGGTTGTATACACCACTTCCGGTACCAAATAGGCCTTGGGAAAGTATCTCAATGGATTTCTTGGGTGGTTTGCCTACAACCACAACTACCACTGGGTTTGATTACTTGTTTGTTGTGGTGGACAGATTTAGCAAAATGGTGATCCTAATTCCTTGTAAGAAGACAATTTCAGGAGAAGGTGCCACAAAGTTTTTTTTCCACCATGTTTGGAAACATTTCGAGTTACCTACTTCTATCATTTCATATCGAGATAGCAGATTTCTTGGTCACTTTTGGAAGTCTTTATGGGGATTGATGGACACAAAGCTGAAACATAGTACTGCTTTTCATCCTAAAACGGATGGACAAACATAAGTGGTAAATCAGACCATGGTACATCTATTGAGAGGATATAACTCTAAGCATCCTCGTACTTGGGATGCGAGTTTACCTTATCTACAATTTGCCTTTAATAGGGCAATTCATAGTTCTACTTTGAAGTCACATTTTGAAGTCTGTTTGGGCTACCTACCTTTCAGTCCATTTGATATGGCCTTCTCAATTGGTGACAAGCAAAATGGAGAAGAAAATGATAATAGGCTAAAATCACAGCGACTCTTGGAGCGCATTTCGAAGATCCATAAAGAAGTTGAGGAGCAATTATAGAAGTCACAACAGTGATACAAAGCACGACATGACAGACATAGGCTCCAGCATGACTTCAAAGCAGGTGATCTAGTTTGGTTAAAACTCAGCAAGGAAAGATTACATGGTGTACGAAGGAAATTAAAGCCACTTCGATATGGGGCATTCAAGATCTTGGAAAAGATTGGAGAGAATGCATTTCAACTTGAGCTACCACCTTACATGCAGAGCATTTAAAACCATTTGAGCCATCATTATTGGATGATGATGAAGACGTTAAGGATTCTCGACTTCCCCCACTGGATGATCTATGGTTTGAGAGGGAAGACCCCTTGATGGCAGACTGCATTCTTGAGAAGAAAGCCACTACGACTCGGCGTGGTCAGATAGAATCTTATCGCATTGGAAGAAAAGGGCAGTTTCCAAGCAAGTCAAAATGGTTTCGCAAGGAAAAAGGAATTCAAGAGTTCCCTCATTTGCAGTTTTAGCTTTTGCAAGAGCTTCAGTTTCCCTAAAATGGGGAGCCATGATCCAGGTGGATCCTCCGTACGTAATACAATATGATATTAAATCCATATCATATTATGTTACTTAATTATCCTTTGATCAGCTTAAGACCCTGTTCTCATCATATATGTTCTCTAACCCTAATCTCATCATAAAGAGAGAGTTGAAACAGTTTCTGAGAAAGAGCATATGTCTTAACCCATTCGTGTCTGTTGCTCGTGTCGATGCTGCTGCGATTGGATGAATCCAGAGATCGTGCACTCAAGGAAGATAACGCCAAGTATGTCTTCTATGTATTTCAGGTTGTGCGAAAGATCATGAACACATGTATTGAAAATCTAACAGTTAGTATCAAAGCACATGGTTACTCACACACACTGAGATCATTTTCAAGCATGCCTATTGTGATTTCTTTATCCGTTGATGCCATGATTATTTTTGTGTAATGTTTAAAATTTTGATGACAGATTAGACATGTATACTATGAATGTTAAAAAATTTGGAAAAAGCATGTTTTAATTGAATTTTCATATCTTCAAAACTTTAAACCCGTTTTTGACCTACCAGATGACCTTAAAATCCTAAAAATGGTCTTATGTTGTAGCTAATAGTGAGTTCTGTTAGTTACGCCGTTCCCTATTAGGAAAGGTATTTTGTGTTAAAAACGGACACCGAAAACCCTTAAAACACTATTCACTGCATAAAACACTATTCATGGGAATTTTGGGGTTTTCTCTTTGATTGTGTTTTGTTTGGTTATTTTTGTGCGAGATAGGAACTTGCTTTTGTTATGAGAATCAACAAATTTTTCATAACAAAACCAAACCTAAATACTCAAACCCTAAAGAAATAACAAAAATTGCATCATACCTAAATGACTTGATAAGTTTCTTCAACAAATAGAATTTATCATGTAATCTGTTTATGATGGCACAAGATAACATGTAATTGTTGTAAGTTGTAGGTAATCTCTTGCTACAAAGGTGTGATACTTAATTAAGGAAGCTTGCATCTGTTATTTGTTAGTTTTGTGAATTAAAGATAAATTGAAAAACTGTTTTCTCTTAACAAATTGAGAATCGATTTTCTTAAAGTACTTTTACTTTATTTTGCATACAGCATTGAATCCTTCCTCAATCAATTTCTCGAAAATTGAAACACTCACTATATCAAACTTCAAAAGATGGAAGTTTGATTTTAAAGATATTCTCAGAATGAATGAGATCGATTATGATCTCACTCATGATTATATTTAATTCAAGCTGGCCGTTTTCGTTTATGTATCTTGTAGTACGGCTCCAAAAGTTAAGAAAAAGGAGAAGCATCTGGCATTTAATAGGTGCCACTATTGTCAACTTATCATGAATGGAATTCTAGTAAAGAATATATTGGAGCTAATTAAAAAGCAAAACGAAGATGAATTGGAGCAAAAAAGGGTTAAGGCTTAGAGACGTCGTCGACTTTATGAAGGACCCATAAAGATGTACACAACTACAAGGGACAGTCTTAGGATCGCCGTAAAGTTTTGGATGTTCATGGGAAATGGAGCAAGTAGATGTGGAAATCATTGGAGTAGTTAACTTGAAGTTGGATTCAAGATTTATTTTAGAGTTGGATGATGTAGGTTTAGTATCCTAAATGAAGAGGAATTTATTTTCTATTTCAAGATTATCGAGACTTGGTTTTGTTGTTGAATTCAATAAAGATGGTTTAACATTATCTCAAAATTCTATTGTTCTTACTACTAGTTTTCTCTCAAATGGATTATATTGTCTCAATTACAATGAAGATGGTGAAGTCTTAATGGCTAAATCGAGTGAGAAAAAGATTAGAAGTGAAGGAACATCCACTAGGTTATAGCATAGACATTTAGGGCACATTTCGACAAAAAGAATGAAAATTCTTGTTAAAGAACAAGTTTTGCCACCACTAATTTTCAGTGATGACGAGATTTGTATTGAATGTGTTAAAGAAAAACTCACTAAGACTAAAAAGAAAGGTGCAACTCGCAATAGTGATCTTTTGGAGATCATCCACACAGATTTTTGTGGATCATTCCCTCATCAAACAATTGATGGAAATCGGTACTTCATCACCTTTATAGATGACCATTCTCGTTTTGGTTATCTATTTGAGATGTTCAAAAAATTTCAAACTGAAGTTGAAAGGCAACTTGAGAAAAATATCAAAATTGTGAGGTCAGACAAAGAGGGTGAATATTATGGATGTTTTGATGAAGGAGGATGACGTGCTGGACTTTTTGTAAGATATCTACAAGATAATGGAATAACTGCTCAGTACCCAATGCCAGGAACTCCGCAACAGAATGGTGTGACTGGGAGAAGAAATCGGAGACTTTGAAGGACATGGTTCGCAACATGATTTCCAAAACTGATTTGCATATGCATCTATGGGGAGAGGCGATCAAAACAACAAATTATATACTTAATAGAGTGCCCAACAAGTCCATGCCTAAGACACATTTCAAAATTTGGACTACCAAAAAGCCTAGCTTGTGACATCTTCATGTATGGGGTTGAAAGGCTGAAGTTATAATCTATAACCCTCAAGAGAAGAAGATTGATCCTAAAACGATTAGCTTCTATTTTATTGATTATCCTGCAAGGTCAAAGGGTTTTAGATTTATTGACCAAATTATGGTACTCGAATTGTTGAGACTGATTGTGCAAAGTTTATAGAGCATGAGGAGAATGCCACTAGGAATGAAGATTTTATTTTCGAAGAAAAACGTGATGTAGTTGTGATCAAGAATGATGAACAAGATGTTACACCCTTGATTCCTTTATGTGAAACTGTATTGGAACCTCCTCAGTTTGAAGAACCAGTTGATAATTAAGAACAAGCTGTTGAAAATCTTGACCTAGATAATCCACAATAACCAGTGCAACTGAGGAGATTTGATAGACTAAGAAGATCCACAACAAATTCATATTATGTGTACTTATAGGAAGTAGATTTTGACATTGGAGATTAGGCTGATCCAACAAGTTTTAAAGAAGCTATGGAGAGTCATAATGCAAAAAAATGGAGAGAAGCAATGTTGAATGAACTCAAAAGTATGAAGAAGAATCAAGCATGGGAATTAGTTGAACTTCACAAGAGCCATAAATTGGTAGGCTGGAAATGGGTATTTAAAACAAAGAAGGTTAAGGATGGAAAAATTGAAAGATTTAAGGCGAGATTAGTAGAAAAAGGATTTACCCAAAATGAGGGAATTGACTACATTGAGATATTTTCTCCAGTTTCCACCGAAGATTCTTTCCACATAATTATGGCTTGGGTGATGGGTGACACATTATGACTTACTTTTACATCAAATGGATGTAAAAACTACCTTCTTGAATGGTGAACTTGAAGAAGCAAATTTTATGAGGCAACCTGAGGGGTTTGTAAAGGAGAGAAAAGAGCATATAGTTTGCAAACTTGACAAGATAATTTATGGACTAAAGCAAGCAAGCAGAAGGTGGTATTTGAAATTCCATCAAACTGTCTCATCCTATGGTTTTGAAGATAACATAGCCGATCAATGCATTTATCTAAAGAAGTGTGGGAGATGTTTTATTTTTTAGTTGTTGTATGTCGATGATATACTTTTGGCTACAAATAATCACAATTCATCGAATGACACTAAGAAACTACTTTCAAATAATTTTGAGATCAAGTATTTGGGAGAAGCTATTTTTTTGTATTAGGCATTGAAATTCAAAGAGACCGAGCTCGAGGTCTGCTAGGCTTATCACATAAACATTGAAAGAGTACTCAAACGTTTTGACTTGAGAATGTGTTTTGGACAGAAAGTGCCATTGGTTAAAGGAGATTTAAAGAAAGAGCATTGCCCCAAGAATAAAGAAGAAGAAGATGAGATGAGGAACAAGCCGTATGCTTCTCTAGTTGGAAGCATTATGTATGCACAAGTATGTACAAGGCCAGACCTAGCCTTGTGCGTTAGCAAGATAGGGAGATTTCAGTCAAATCCGGGAATGTAATATTGGATAGCTGGAAAGAAGATTCTAAGGTACCTACAGAGAACAAAGGCTTATATGTTGATTTACATATGCATAGAGAATTTGGAGCTTGTTGGCCATGCTAATGTGAATCTTGGAAAAGCAGAGGATGATTACATCTCTACTTCATGTTTTCTTTTCAAGATGGCAAGAGCATTTGTTGCTTGGAAGAGTGCTAAACAATCTGATGTTTTGAGTTCAACCATGTTTTCAAAATACATAGCTTGCTATGAAGCCACTTCTCATGCAGTATGGCTAAGGAATTTTATTAAAGACATTAAGGTGGTGGACTCAATTTCAAGACTAGTACAGATATACAATTACAACACTACGACCGTTTTTCACAGCACAAACAACAAGATGTCGTCTGGACTTCAGCATATTGACAGAAAATATTTAATAGTGAGGGAGAAGGTAGCATACAAACTAGTCAATTTGATCATATCAAAACTCAAGATATGATTGCAGATCTGTTCACAAATTTTTTGCCTTCAGAAGCTTTTCTAAGACATGTTGAGAGCATGAGATTATTTCCTAGCTTTGATGTTGCAATTTAGTGAGAGTCTTTTTCCCATTCTGATAGATTTCTAGTTTGTTTTATTTTGCTGTTTTTCTAGATTGAGGGATTTGCATTTCAGGATGTTAATTTGGTTGACAGTTTTATTATTAAATAATTTCTACCATTTTGGCTATTTAGCTATTTAAACTTATTATGCATTTTATTTATGTATGTGAGTTTATGGTCTCTTTTGAGATACTATTGTTTTAATAACATTGCAGATTGACTATTGTTAAGTCATAAAGGGGTATGTGTACTGAAAAGCATAAAGATTCACATCACAGATCAGTACATGTTAAGGTTTGCGTTTGTAGGTGCTTTATGTGTTTTGAGATTGTATTATGTGATTATAGATGACATGTTTTACTAAAGGAGAGTAGTGCTTGTCTATAGTTCGTTTTGTCTAATCGCTTTTCACTGTAGCTTAAAGGGAAGGACATAACAATTTTAAACTCATGGCCAATAAAGATTATCAAACTTGCAATACAGAAGCTTAGTGTTCTAGTGCTTGATCTAGTGGAAGAATGTTATATTCCTTCTAGATCAATGCACTAGATACTAAGTTATATCAGGTTTTGATAGGAGTTTAAAGTAAGTTATACCTTGGGCCCCAAGACTTTGTGAAATAGGAAAAGTAGCCAATTAAAAAGGTCCTATTTATTTCCTTTTGCATGAACCTTTGCTTGATGGGCTTAGAGTGTTAGTCAAGTTGGCCCTCGGTGATGAGTAGAGACGACTTGACCTAGCCCTACATAAGTGTAAGACACTGCTCTCATCAGATATGTTCTCTAACTCTAATCTCATCATAAATAAATAGCTGAAACAGTTTCTTAGAGAGAGCAGAAGTCTTAAGCCATTCGTGCCTTTGCTCGTGCTGCTACTGCTGCGATTGGATGAATCCAGAGATTTTGTACTCAAGGAAGATGATGCCAGGTATGTCTTTTATATATTTCAGGATGTGTGAAAGATCATAAACATATATAGAAAATCTAACACTTCTATGAAGATGCTGTAGTTAGTATAAATTTGGTATGTATAATGTATGAAATGAATAACTTTATCAATGTCATTTACAATGGTGCCAATCAAGCTAAGGAAATCTGTACCTCAATGTGCCTCAAATGAAGAAATAATAGTCCTAACCAAAAACAGAAAATAAAAATTTGGCAAAAAAATAGAGACCAAATCTGCTCCACAGTGAGCAGCTACAAACAAACTGCCAGACTGCTGTAAAACTGCTTGTATGATCTTGCTGAACTCATGAAAAACTACAGAATCGCTTGCAACGTATTGTCAAACAAAGAATGGTAAGAGACCTATTGCACAAAATGTGCAATGAGCTAATCTCATCCCTGAGAAACAATCCTGTCATGTAGGCCAAACGCCTATAGGTACTACAAGAATGGGAAAATGTAAATGACTGATATGTGAACAAGGAAAGCCACCATGCTTATCGGTACGAGTTTGAAAGGCTCGCTGCATGCTGAACTGCTAACGTTTATGGACCCTGCATTAACAGATGCAGTTCCTCTGCTAGTATTTGTAGAGACATTGACTGACGTTGAACCTGAGAGAAACATTCATACACATACAATCAGAATGCAGGATAGAAACTCCATTGTTTTTCTCCTGTTTTTTTTTCTACTTTTTTTGTAGTTTTCAAATATAATTTTCGTGGTTGGAGAATTTTGTGATGAACTTGGAATAAGAAATAACTAATATCCCTACTTACAGTCATATTGAGTCCAACCAATCCGTTGATTGGCCAAATCATAGACAATGATTTTGTCTTTCAGGATGAGGTCTGCGAAAGAGGACGACAATTGACGTAAGTGTTCTTTTAGTGAAAAGAGAACTCAATAACAAAACACAAAACTAAATAAGCAGATAAGAAAATGTACTACTTAAGTAAGCCATTAAAAAGAATTTGATAAGAGAAATGATGACTGATCATCAAAATTTTAGCCTGTTAGAGAATGGTGTTTGAACAAACTTAACTAAATAAATTTGAATTTATTTATCATACCTCCCAATACAGTTATATCTTGACCGTCACTTTTCTGGATGCCAATGCACCATACTTCATCACCACTCTGGAACAAAGAGAAGAAAAAAAAATTCCCTATTTCAGTTCAAGATGCAGGACTTAAATAAAAAAAACAGTTACACAGTTATAGGATAAAATTTGATTTCATTAGAGAAGGGTAAAGCTTGTTCGAATGATGTGCAGTTTGCGAAACTTTGAAACAGAAACCGCAGCCAAGGACAGAAGCAGAGAAAGAAAGAGCCAAGGAAGAGATATCTAAGAACATACTGTAATTGGAAAATGTACCATATTTCTGTAGATGGAACATTCTTAGAGATTCCTGTAGCCTAATGCAAGCTAGTCCTGCTTAAAATGATTTAGACGTCAAAGTCTGTCTATTTTGAAGGAAACCAAACAAAAGTTGACAGAATCCAGAACATATTGTTTCTCCCACACTAATATGGTGTAGCTGAAATGTTTAGCTAGCTCCATGCTTTAATCTTATCATACATTCTTTCTAATCGGCTTCGAGGCATTTGTTTTACGCATTAGCATTACAAATGTTTGGGAATTGCATTAGGTTATGTGATTGGAGAGGTACACTACATTGAATTGTGATTGCCAGTTCAATTACTTAAAAAAATAGAAGACAGTCTACGGAAAGCCAAAACTAGCTTAAAGAGTGGACAGAAGCAAATTGGACAACAAAAGAAGTTGTTCATCACAATTTCGGACTAAATGAAAACATCTGCACAAGCTTTTAACACTTGAAAATCAGGGGAAGAAATAAATAAAAAGTACAGAAACTCACGACAGTATTCTGCTGCAAAAGGTAGTCCTCCGGTCTTAGAATCAGGGATGCATTACCAGCAAAGTTCAAGTTAACTTGAGGAAATATACCAGTGATGCTGAATGGAGAAAAACACACTTTAAGAATTACAATTGAGCTGAAATATTAGCAGTCCTCAAACGTTGAATCAACTGAGATAAAATATTCAAAATGTGAACCTGGATGTGACTATGTAGCATTGTTCTCCCTGGGAGGTAACAGGGGTCACGGATTGTGAGACAGCGCTTGTTATCTGCAAAGAAACAAAATAACATGTTATTCACCTTTTGTTTCACTTCCTTAGCCATCTATTAAAATCAAACAACAATCCAGCTTTAATTTTCCCCCAAGACTTAATTCAGTTTGAAAGTACAAAAACTAAAAGTAGAGATCGAGAATCACCAGAAGTTAAATAGATCAGTTAAACAGTAAAGTATTTTTTAAACAGAAAATTACAGCATTGACAAAAGGATCATATGCATCTTCTGCAAGGTATGCCAAAGTTGTCCCAGAATCAACTATTGTTCCTTGGTTGCTTGATGTTGAAAAAACTGATGGATCAATGGCTAGCGTTTGGCCGTTAACACTAATGCTCTCCAGATTTAAGTTATAATGAGGCCTGAAATTCCGAGCATCCCAGTAGATATAGTTAAAGTTACAGCAGCCAAGCTTTATATGATTAAAAAATCTTATGCCTTACAAAATGAATAGGGAAAAGGTAGCATAACATCCAACATTTCAAAATAGAATTGAGAGAGGGCCAAGCTTTTGCTGCAATTAAGAGCTACTTCACATGTTAAGATCTTCAAGTAGTTCCTCAGGGCTCTATTTATCTCTCTATGGAATTTTTTCCAAAATATAATTATTTTTCACCCTCCACTGAAATGTATTCAATTAAACGGTACTGTTCTGGCAACATGAGTAGTTAAGTCATAAATTTCAAACTAGAAAATAGCTATGGGTTACAACCTAAAAAAGAGATGTCTGCAATGATGCATGCGAATATAACTGTTAGTCATGCTGTAGAGCTCACTATAGTTCCATTTAGTTTCACAAAATATAAAATGATATACTTGTACTGCTTTACACATACTGATTTTGGACAAGCGGGCTATAAACGATGTTAGGATCCACGATCTCACCAAGAACCAGTATCCCCCCACCAGTGTCATCTCCTTTGAAGCAGTGGGAAAATACTTTTGGTGCTACTCCCTGTGAAGACAGCTGTGAGATGACAGATAATTCCTGCTGTCCAAATCCAAAAATCCCATCAACTGCTCTATCTGTTTTCTGCAAGACCCCGGTTGCTAAGGTGCTACACCTGTTTCAAAATTCACCATTTGAGGCTTTGTTCAAATAAAAAAACAATCACGCACGGAAATAAGACTGTTGTTCTTAACTATAGGGCAGAATACATCATATATTACCCAAAGACAATGTTAGCTGAAGAGTTTGAGGTGACAGACTGACCACCGCCAGCTGTGTCAAAATGCAACAAGTCTGATACATAATAGCCCGATGTTTCACTGCCATCTCCGTACTTGAACCCATAAGTACACTGCTTATCCTTTGCATCACAGCTAGAATCTTGTGTCTGAAGTCCAAGGGAACATATTTTATCAGAACAAGACACCAATGAGGCAGTTGATGAGCTTTTAGGGTCAAAAGATTTCAGCTGAATCTGCATGAAAACCAGAGGGATCATATCACTCATTCAGAAACTTCAGCAGTATGTTTTCCCTCCTGATGATATTTTAAAACTTGACAAGATTTAAATTAGGATAAATGAAGAGGTGAGTTTACTTTAAGTCCAGTTGATTTGGGGCAACCATTGCAGGAATTGCAGCCAACCCACAAAACATCACTTCCAGTATCAATCTGCACATAAAACTCTGTTGCAGGTGTACCCAACTTCACACTTGTGAAATAAAGCCAAATCCAAAAAAAAAAAAAAAAAAAAAAAAAATAAAATATGAGTGAGTGATAGTGATATATGTCCCTTTAAGATTACTCTAAAACCATATCATCTACCAGTTTGATAACTTAAACAAAAATATGAGTAAAAGAGAAGAAAACCCAAAAAGGTCAAAAAAATTTTATTCTAATAAGAAATTGACCTATTCAATGATTGGTTTTGAGTCAATGATGATATAATATGTTTGTTTAATTACTACAACTCTTCAACTAAAATTGTTAAGACGTGGACATCAAATGAATTATATTGTTTAATCATGACTTATTCAAAACCAAGACGTGGACGTTACAAAACATGTCATGTGACATTTGCAACCAAAAAAGTTTAATCATACAAAGAAAAAAAAAATTTGGTTGATTAATTTCTGAATTTGGCAGAAAACTGTACCCAACTATGTATGGATCGAAGGTCCCTCCAACGGGGAAATTGATGACACCGCCGCCGCCACTAGAAGACTGCTGCAACATCCTTCCATGCCGGACTCCGTCTCTAGCTCTGAGTTGACTCAGTTCCACTCTGTGGTTTGTTGGAAAAGCTCTCTCCAGAGTCAGAGTGGCGGGGAAACTGCACAGAACCACCGCAGAAGGCAGCAGTACCACGGCAGTGATCAAAAGCTTTGCCAGAAAAGTTGCCGCCATTTATCTCTCTCTCTCTCTCTCTCTCCTCTCTCTCTCTCTCTCTCTCCCCCTCAGAGAGAGGGGATGTACAAGTCTCTCCCAGATAACAACCGATAACAGAAATTCAAAATAGGAATGACGTTAGCTGTTATTATTTCATATATTGAATAAATATTTTAATATTTTAATTAATTTGGTAATCAGCTTACTTCGTTTTTCTTTTTGGACGGCTTTTCAGATACGATGCTTTTGCTCGGTGTTCACGTAACCATGTTTGACCACCACACTCCACACACATTCTAATTTCTGTTCAGGTGCCATGTAGGGACAATATTTTGAAGTTCCTTCTCAAGTAGTGTAAATACCACACTAATCCAGAACTCTCACAAGAAAATAGTAGAAGAGAAAAAGGACTCAAAATAATCGGATTCAGCAGGTTTAGGGGATCTACAATCATGCTCTTTATTTTTTAGTTAAAATTTTGCTAAAAACATACGCAAGCTATTTTTGGAGCTCTCTATAAAATTTTAACTTCAATCATGCTCTCTAGTTTAGGGACTTATAAATGTTAGAACTCTTTTTTAATTGGTCAATCTCTATAAAAAAAAATATATAAAATAATTAGCATTAATTAAATGTTATAAAATAAAGCATCATTAAATTATAGGGAGTCACTAGGAGTCCTTTCTCTAGGAGCTCATAGAAGTCTTTCTATTTTAGGCTATCTCCAGTCATGGGCTATATGTCAACTATAGCCTTAAAATAATGCAAAACTCATCTAAGGCCATCTCCAGTCATAGGGCTAAATGTAATACAGGGCTATAAATTTAGCCATCCAAAATATTAATTTTTTAAAGAATAGTGCAGGGCTAAATTTTTCCATCTCCAGCCATACATAGCTATATTTTAGGGCCCTTCATATTTTATTATTTTGAGAAAAACTATGGTACAACTATATATTGTTTAATTTAATTAAACAAGAGACAATATTTTTTAATATATATATATATATATTAAACAAAATGAATTTAAAACATTTAAAAAGGTTTTAAATAAATAAATAAAAATAACTTTTCAATCAATGGTTCTAACCTCCAAACGATTAGAAACCAATTATATATATATATATATATTAAACAAAATGAATTTAAAAACATTTAAAAAGGTTATTAAAAATAAAATAAAAAACCTAATGGCTAGCTGACGTTAACGCACCTTTAATATTAGCTGTTGGATTTGCAATTGCACGAGATATTTCGTGCTCTTACCCACACGTGATACTCTCTCTTCTTGGAAAACACATGCCCTATGCCCACAAAAAAAATTTGGTCTATACCAAAGTTGGGCTACATTTGGCCTAGTTGGAGGGCTAAAAGGCCAAATGCCAAATGTAGCCCTCCAAATTTGGCCAAATTTTTTTTTAGCCCATGACTGAAGATGGGTTTTGAATTATTTTAGGTATATATTTGGCCTATGGCTCATGACTGGAGATGGCCTAAGCAAGAGCATGAAACATTTCGTGCATCTAGATATCCAATAGCCAATATTAAAGGCACAACTAGCTGTTAGTTTTTTTTATAAATATTTTCAAATCCGTTTTGTTTATATATATATATAATTGGTTTCTAACCGTTGGAGGTCAGAATTATTGATTGAAAGTTATTTTCTTTTTATATTGAAAACCTTTTTAAATGTTTTAAATTCGTTTTGTTTAAAAATATATATAAAACGTGTACGTTTGGAATATTGATAGTAGTTAATTAAATTAAACAATACATAGTTGTATATGAGTGTTGTACCATAGTTTTTCTCAAAATAATAAAATATGAAGGCCCCTAAAATATAGTTGTGCATGGCTGGAGATGGAAAAATTTAACCCTACATAATTCTTTAAAAAATTAATATTTTGGAGGGCTAAATTTATAGCCTTGGACTACATTTAGCCCTATGACTGGAGATGGCCTTAGGAGGTATGAATAAGGAGCATGGTTGGAGTTGTTTTTTTTCAAATACTTCTTAAAATTTGTTTAAGGAGGTGGTTTAGAAAGCCTGTTGTGGGTGCTCTTACAAAGGTATTAGAGTCTGAATCAAAGGGGCACAACACATACAATTAAATTTTGAAGGTTTATTTTTGGGTAAACTACAGTAAACCCCCCAACCTATAGGGTTATTTACGAGTTTATACCCGATTTTGGTCATTTACGAGTACATATTCAACGTCGTGGAAAACCTACAATTTGCCTCCTCCGTTGGCGAGATTGTTAAAAAATCTGTTATCTGCCTATGTGGCATTTATGAGACTCATTTTTTAATTGACGTGGACTTACAAGTGAACAAATAAATAATAAAAAATTATATACATGTTAAAAATAATTTTTAAATAATATTAAAATCATTAAAAATGAAAAATAAATAAATTAAAAAAATTAAAATCTCCACTCTCTTCTCCTACCCAGCCAACCCTCTCTCCCTCCCGACTCAACCTCTCAGCCACCCCACTCCTATCGACGACCCCCAAACCCAACTCTCTTTCTCCCTCCTCATAAGATTCCAATACCTCAAAATTAAACCACCATTGCACAATCAACTTTGCCTAGAAAGAGAATAATTCTCAAACAACAAAAACATATCTTTGGTTGGTAGGGAACTAGTCTAGGAGCAATTTCGGAATCTACAACTGAGGGTTCACCTGCTTTTCCATGGCAATTTGCCACAATCCAACAGATGGGTTTAATTTCATTGAAGAAATTCTCCACTAATTGTAAATAACTTGTCTTATTATGCACTTTTCTGTTTTGAATTTTCACAAGAAAACATCGGGAAAGCCCTCTATCTAGCTTGGTCGCGACCTCCATTTTCTCCGATGCTTCGTCGTCGGCTTTCGGCATCGAGTGAATGGCAAATCCTAGATTTTCAAGGATGGCAGCAGCTGGAGATTTTCCAGCTTCCTTGTCGGCAAAATTTCAGTGGCTGTGGACGGTGCGAGCCCTTGGGCTTGGAAGTTGAAGACCCCTTGTCCCGGTGGTATGCGACGTCAACGTTGGAGTCTGAATCGGCAAGGAGCAGCTCCACGGTTTGTGGTTGGGGGAGGCGTGGCTGTTGGGGTTGGGTTTGGTGGTACAGGTGGATCAGAAGGAGGAGGGTTTGGTGGTCAAGGCTATGGAGAGAGAGAGAGAGAGAGAGAGTTCTAGGTCGGGTTCAGAGAGAGAGAGATTTTTTAAAATAATTCTAAAATCATTTTTTATTAATTTTTAGTCCACATTGAAGTCCACGTCATTTAAAAAAGAGGTCCTACTTTTGACACATCAGCATTTAACAGACTAATTAACAATTTGACTAACGGAGGGGGTAAATTGTAGGTTTTCTGCGACGTTGAGTATGCACTCGTAAATGTCTCCAAAATTGGGTATAAACTCGTAAATGACCCTATAGGTTGGGAAGTTTACTGTAGTTTACCATTTATTTATTTTTTGGGAATTTTAATGCACTTTGACTACTTTTCCCTTATAGAGGTGAATAGTGACATTGGTTGCCCCTTTTTCCTTTTTTTTTTTTTTTTTTTTTTTTTTTTTTTTTTTTGTTGCAAAAAAATTTAAAGGAAGATTGGCTACTCTTACCACCACCAACAACAGAGTAGACCTTTGACCTCGACGAGTTTTGGGAGTGTTCTTTTCTCCATTTAGTAGAGCTCGCTCTCATGACTTTGTAGGCAATTACTATGTGCGAATTGGAGTTAAAATGAAAAGGATTAATTACAGTTTAGTACATTATGGTTATATTTTTAAGACATGTTAGTGCTTATCTTTTTTATTTTTACAATTAGATACGCAAAATTTTTAAATTTGTTACAATGTGGTTTTGCCGTTACGGTTTCCGTTAGTTGCTTACGTGGCTACGGGTCCCACATTTTTGCTTTTTTAAAAATTTTAAATTGATTAAAATATTTTGTTTTGGAAAAATTGAAGAGACAGAGAGAGAGAGAGAGAAAAAAAAAAAAAAAAAAAAAAAAAAAAAAAAAAAAACCCCACAACCCCAACACCCCCCCACCCCCGATTTTCTTCTCCCCCCATTCCCCATGACCACACCCTCCAACCCCAAAATCCATTCCCCCCCAAACCCCCACAGCCACCCTCCACCCCAAACCCATCCCCCTACCCCCACAAGGAACCACCCAAAGCCCCTCCCCCCGATTTCTTATCCCCCTGCCCGACCCCAAAATCCGGTCCCCCACCCACTGGTGGCGCCCTCCTCCCTCAGTAGAGAATCTGCAGATCTCCTTCTCTGTCTTCTCTCTCTCTATTTGTGTGGAAGCAGAGCAGAAACCACATCAGCAATCCAATCTTCTCAACTCTCAAATCAAACTCAGGTATGTACTTTCTAATAACTGCTTTAACTTGTTATGTTCTAATTGAATCCAAAAACCAAAATACATTTTCTAGGAACTTTCCGACGTGATTCCGTCGTTGTCTGACCTCCGATCGCCCTGATTCTTAAACCAAAGCGTTCGTCTCATTCCCTTCTACCTATCCCGACCAAGACCCAGCCCAGACTGTCGCTGTGCAAGGCGAATACTTGATCGAAAGTCAATACTTTGCCACAGTTCCCGTTACTGTTTGAGCAGCTTTCCGGCCGTTTACGGCCACCGTTTGTTGGGTTTTGTTCCTCTCCTTGCAAGGAGCATTTTTCGTGCTGACGCCGTCTCCATTGTACGACCGTGGAAGCCGGATCGACACCGTGAAGATCGGCCCTCGAGCCGCGACTTTCCGACGGCTTTTCCGGTCGCTTCCGGAAATTTTTTAGGTAAAGTCCCTTTACAAAAGTTGTTATACTGGTTGTGATCCTCAATTTGATATGAGGCTTGACAGCCGTTGTTGAGATTTTCCGGTATACCAGATATGGAACCTGAACCTATTGTTCCAACTATTACGGGACATGCCGACTCATCCAGACTTGTTGAGTTGGTTAGGGAACTGAGAGAACTGGGTGCAAAACCTTTTTATGGAACTAGGGGCTGCATGAAAGCTGATGAGTGGTTTGTTAATATAGAGAACTTGTTCGAAATGATGGAGTGCTCTGAGGTTGAAAAGAAAGAGTTGGCTGTTTTTCTCTTGCAATGTAAAGCTCGATATTGGTGGGCTGAAGTTAAGAGAGCTCAAGACGTATCAGTGATGGACTGGGAAGGGTTCAAGACGGTTTTCTATGCCAAGTATTTTCCTCTGAAAGATAGGCTGGAGGCTTCTTTCTTGAGTCTTGAGCAGGGCTCTATGTCTGTGGGTGACTATGAGGCTAAATTTTCGAATTTGCTTCGTTTCGCACAACCAATGACTGAGGTGCAGAAAGCACGAAAGTTTGAGTTGGGATTGGTTGATGACATTAGAGAATCAGTGGTTAACTTGAGACTCCAAACCTTAACTGAAGTGGTAGACTGTGCCATCGCAGTTGAGAAGACTATTGAGCTGTACATACAACACCAAAACAGACAAAGAGATTACAGAGGAAAAGGGAAGGCGTCAGCTCAATGTATGTGTGCCTCAGGTGAACATGGTGGAACTGGAAAGAGGCAGAGAACGGGGAATCAAAAAGAAGGCCGAGCAGCTGTACATGCTCAACAGAGAAGAACAAGTGAGTGTTACAACTGTAGTGAGGTCGGACATTTGTATAGGGCTTGTCCAAAACCGAAGGCCCAGTGTTGTTTCAAATGCAAGCAGCCGGGCCATTTGGCTAAAGATTGCACTCAGGGGTAGACTTGAGTGTTCGGTGGATGGCAGAGGACAGACTGAAGTGGAAGTTATGTAAATCTTTTTGCTACCGTTATATAAGTGCTGTTTGATACATGAGGATCATGTTCATTCATTTCTCAGTTTTATGTGCGAGTGTTTGAATCAACTATGGTGTTTTTGTGCTTGCAAAAGTGTACTTGTAAATCTTTTAGTAAATTCACTCTTGGAAAGAGTTTCATGGCTCATGGGAAACCAAGAGACACCTCCTTCCGCATTGGGTTTCAATTTTCATTCTCATGGGAATCCAAGGCAACATTGCATTAAATCTTCTGAAAGTTTGAAACCCATGTCAAATATAAGTAAAATTGAAGAAAATCCAAAATCCAAAAAATAAAATAATAAAAAATGAAAAAAATGTTAGAAAGTAATGATACAATTATGCCCCTTTAAGATTACTCTCTAAATCGTCAATGGGGTCTAGCCCAATGCAAAAAGCCCTTTGCCTTCTATATTAGAGGTCTCATGTTCAAACCCCATGATATCTTGGTTGCTTGTGGGTAAAAAAATATATCTCTAAGAAGAAATTGACCTATTCAATGATTGGTTTTGAGTCAATGAATTTGAAGGTTGTTTGTCTCCACTATATCATATCATAAATAAATATTATATTGTTTAATCATGGCTCATTCAAAACCAAGACGTGGGCTAACTAACAATTTCTATATATATATTTTCGCAAAACATGATATGAGTGGTGGAAAAACTGCAGAGAACCACCTACGGCAGCAGTACCGCCGCGGCTATAAGAAGCTTTGCCAGAAAATTTGCCGCCATTTCTCTCTCCCTCTCCCTCTCTCTCGTTTATTTAGAGAGAGAAGGGATGTCCAAGTCTCTCCCAGATAACAACCGATAACAGAATTTCAAAATAGGAATGACGTTAGCTTTATTATTTCATATCTTAAATAAATATTTTAATTAATTTCGTAATCAGCTTCCTTATTTATGTTTTCTTTTTGGACGGCTTTTCAGCTACCATGCTTTCACTCGGTCTTCACGTAACTATGTTTGACCACACACACACACATTCTAACTTCTCTCGAAGCTTTCCACCAGATGGATCAAAAGAAAACTGAGTTGTGGCAGTTAGGAGGTGATTGGTTTGAAGAAAAAGGAAATTGTTTACTTGTCAATGTTAGTAAATGGAAAAGGTTATCGTAGCTCATGGGAAACAAAGACACCTCCATCTACTTTGAGTCTCATTTTTCCCTACATGGGAAATCAACGCAAGCATTCATTACACATGTTTTTATGACCAATTTACCCCTATTAACATAAAATGACAATTTTGTCCAATGACTTCAATTTAGAGATACTCTTATAATTCGTAAAAAGAACCCAAAGTTAGGCATCATTTGATTTCTCAACAAACAAAAGATGTGACGGTCTATTTTAACCGTATTATTATATATCCATTAATCACTCAAACATTATTCATGTTTATTTTCCTTCTTCTTTTTTCCTCCATTGGAGCATCAAAATATGTATTACAAGAATAAAATTTGAGTTCTGGGTTTGATTTATTTTCCATTTTTTCTATTCATCGTAAGAAGTATTTTGCATACTTCTAATGTAGGGCTATAATTGGAAAGATAAACAAAATTTGATTCCAATTTTTGCACAAACCAAACATGATAAATAAAATTTTCTGATTACTTAACATGGGAAATGAATATTCCATTTATAATCCATCGAGAAAAAAAAGAAGACACGAAAATTGATTTCTCACCTATTGAGAACCAAACAAGACCTAGGAGGCACACCACTCTCACCCTGTATTTTTCAAATTAGTTGGTTCATTAATAAAAAAAATACATATGTACATATTTTATTTTATTTGGTGTGTTAGAACTAGATTTGGGACTCGACCTAACTACGTTGGTGGTCATTATCATGTTTACTTCTTTCATGAAATTGGATAATTAAACTTAGTTGGGCCTAAATAATTAAAATAGATTAGACACAACACATCCTCTTTGGGCTCACACGTAAGTCACGTTTTCTTGTTAAAGCATTTCAGTTGGGTAGAACCACTTACTTAAATTCCTATTGTTTCTAAGAGAGTTGGATAGTTGAACAAAATAACCCTATGTTTCTTAGGAAGCACGATATTATTACGTATTCAACTTATTAGGTCCGAATTGAGGCACGATAGCAGCCTCTGTTTTTTCCTCGAACACATTGCATTGATCAATTAGCCAAACTCATGTTAGCACATATTGATGATTTTTATTTGTTCACTGCACATGTGATGATTTTTAATAGTCTAAGTCAACGTTCTTCTAAATTTTTATTTTATACAAGTGGAAAGTTACCTACAAGTTCATAGGCAATTTCAATAGCAGTTTCATACAACATTTTCATACACCATAAAAGACAATCTTGCACTTGGACTCGGTAAAGAAAAGACTGCTCGCGGAAAAAATGGAAGACGACCGCGCGCCACCAGCAGCAGAAGCCCCAGCCAAGGAGTCTTCCTCCTCAAGCGCATGCAAAGACGTTCCCAATCTCCTCTCCTCCTTCGTCGATACCTTCGTCGACTTTTCCGTCAGTGGCGGCCTCTTCCTCTTGCCTCAAAATGACCAAAATGCCCTCCCTCACCACCTCCGCAACCCCGGCGACAATCCTCTTCCCTCGCCCCCGCCGTTGCAGACCTATTATCCCCCGCAGGACCGCTTGATTGCCATAGGCGATCTCCACGGAGACTTGGAAAAGACCAAGGAATCGCTGAGACTCGCTAAATTGATCGACCCGGAGTCAGGTAAATGGGTCGGAGGGTCGTCCACCTTGGTCCAGATTGGCGACGTGTTTGACCGTGGCGGCGAAGAGCTCAAAATCCTTTATTATCTCGAGAAATTGAGACGAGAAGCCGCGAGATGCGGCGGCACGGTGATTACAATGCACGGGAACCACGAGATCATGAACGTCGAAGGAGATTTCAGGTTTGCGACTCACAAGGGTTTGGATGAGTTTAGGGGTTGGGCCGATTGGTATTGCATTGGGAACCGAATGAAATCGCTTTGTAAAGGCTTGGAAGATCCCAAAGATCCCTTTGATGGGGTCCCTCTAGGGTTTAAGAATGTCAAGGAAGAGTTTGTAGATGGGTTTAGGGCTAGAATTGCAGCACTGAGGCCAAATGGTCCCATTTCGTCCCGGTTCTTGGCCAAGAACTTGACTGTATTGGTTGTTGGAGATTCGGTTTTCGTCCATGGCGGGCTTTTGGCCGCACACGTTTCTTATGGCCTGGAGAAGATCAATGCGGAGGTGAGGGATTGGGTTTATGGATTGAAGGGCGGATCTGCACCCGATTATTGTCATGGGAGGAATGCCGTGGTTTGGTTGAGGAATTTTTCGCATGAATTTGCGGAGAAGTGTGATTGTTCAGCTCTTGAACATGTTTTATCTACAATTCCTGGCGCTAAGAGGATGATTATGGGTCATACCATTCAAGAGTTCGGGATTAATGGCGTTTGTGAAGAGAGAGCAATTCGGATTGATGTTGGTATGTCGAAGGGGTGTATTAATGGGTTGCCTGAAGTTTTGGAGATCAAAGGGAATTCAGGTATGAGGATCTTGACCTCAAATCCATTGTACGAGAAGAAGAAGTATAGATCTTCTGTGGAAAGTGAGAGGAGGCCAGGGCCTGGATTTTTGCCTCAAGAGCATGGACCAAAACAAGTGGAAGTGAAGGCTTAACTATTTGGGTATTTTATGCTAAACCTTACTAGTCTTTACTTAAATGGAGCTCCTTCTGAACATATATGACTTTTTACTTTTTATTTTCTAAACTATTATTCAGCTGGCCGGAAGTGTAAACATTTAATCATCAGTAGTTAGTCAAGCTGGAAATTGGATCAATACTAACATTTTGGTATTTTTTAATTTGTGTTTCTATAGCTGTTTTTGTTTTTCAACGGGAAACATTAGTGCTTTCGCTAACATTGGAAAATGTTTTGTGCAAGCAGGGGATTTATGTATACAAGTTTTGTTTTGTCATGTTATACATGTTTCGACTGTTTATTAAACTCTTTAGTGTGTTTCTACTTTTATTGATGCATTGTTGATCACTCATATCCTGAATCTAGTATATGTGCTGGATGGTAAGGCATTGTATCATTAGAAGTAGGTACCATAAGAATTCTGATGGCTATTTATTTTGGATTAGAAATTGGTAATGACCAACTATCAAGAGTACTTCTCATTTATATAAAAAAAAGAACTATCAACGTAATGTTGTTTTGTTCCTGACAAGGAAGATTTTACTTGAATGCTCTTACTCTTTTCAGTTGATTTTGTCCACAATTGTGTTCTGATCGTTGATGTTGGTAAAAGTGAGGGATGTTACTATGATCTGATGGCCACGAGTAGAATACACAATGACTTATGAGTGTGACGCCAAGTAGGCATATATAAAGGTTTGGGCATCAAGAATTTGGAATCTTAAGAAAGACCCATAATTTTCTGCTTTGAAAGTGTTTTGCCATTACAATTGTAATGATATTTTTAGGTTTTTGGAAGTCTTTAGTTGTGGGGCATGATGTATCAATTGTTGGACAAGTAATATATTCTCTGGATTTTGCCCGATAGTTTGAAGGAATAACTTTGGTGGCACGTGTATTAAAACTAATGGATCTAGACACAATTTTGTGTTTGATTTTAATTTTATAAGCAGTTTCCAGAGACATGGTCTTGAAATAGCAGGAATTTTTAAGAGTTTGCCTTATTGCAGCTTTTTCTTTTCTTGAACCAGAATCTGGAAATTGCAATGGAGAACATCATTTCTCTGCGATTCATTTTAAAAATGAACTCTATTGAAAGTTGGATTCAGCAGAACCGATTTTCTAACAATGCAAGTACGGGGATTTGGGTTTCTATGCAGTTCTTCCAGCTATCAATATCACTCTTAGCCTCCTTTGTTTCGAAAACTGCCTCAAGTTCAAGCTCGCCAGCAAACTCCTGCTCTCCAGGTATTAGAAAATAAAAAGAAGAGTATAGAACTAATGAATGCCATAGTACATTGAGTTGGGTTTATACCAATTCATGCTATGCCCTTTTAAGTTAAAATTTGAATGCAAATAGTCCTCACTGCAGTCAAATACATTAATTCTTCCCTGCAGTCAAATCTCTGTTTCCTTCATTTTCCTGCAGTAGTACTTTTTATTTCAATTTGGGTGACTTTTAAATATTTTAATAATTCAAAGCTTTCAATATTGTTATTGACTTGTTTTGTTGCTTAGTTTGGAATATCTTGAGATTAGGGTCCCCTGTAAGCACCAAATCTATAAAAGTATCCTATAGTTCAGCTAATTGAACTGCACAGATGCTAAAGTTGGAAGTAAAAATAGACCGACAACGAGATCTGAAATTAGAGCGAAGGGCGAATAAAGAGTGCCAACTAAGCAACATAACATCTTAAAGTAAATACTAATTTTTTCTTTCTTTTCAAAACGGATTTCCTGTCTGTCTATTGCATGGCACAATATAACTTAAATAAATGCTGTTCCATGTCCTTAATATTTATAAATTATTTGATAATTGTTATGGAGGGGTTATATAATTTGAGTTTTGGTATGATGGAGCTCGACATTGAGATCAAGAATTCCTCCAATAGTTATTGTAGCCTAACAAAGGTATGGTTGGAATTACATTTCCTTTGGAAAAAGCCTACCTTTGATTTGGTTTAGTTATAAATTTACAATGCAATTTTTTTTTTTGAATAAATACACAACCACAGTTGAGGGAAGCAGTGCTACTTGGATCTCAGTGTACAACTGAAGGAAATGTGTGGATCAAATAGGAGCATTTTTATGAATTACTCAAATAGGTGGATCAATAGGAGAACATAATTTCTCATCTCAACATATTCTTTCTTTTGGCCTTCTCTGTTGGATCAATGTTGTCCATCCTAGAGGCTTTAGTTAGAAGTGCTGGGAGAAGTTCAAATACATGGTCGAAACTTCCTTGCTAATGGATTGAAGGGGCTAAGTAAATCCTGTTGAGATGACTATCTGAACTTGCTTTTTTCTCTGTTATAGTTGAAATGCATTCTCTGCTTTTAATATCAGATTGTCAACTTTGTAGACTGTTTTTTGTTAGCAAAATTTGTCTTAAGTTGACTGAACCTTTACCATTTGTACTCGCGGCATGACTGTTACTAGATTCATACTCCAGTCATCTCCTTGTTCGACATGCATTTTGCTGACAGTCGTCTGCATGCCCATACATCCACTTGTCTTTTTTATTTTCCTTCTATATTGTAGGAACCATCATAACCATTTCCCATTTTCCACTTTCTTTATCAGATGGCTGACAAGCATACTAGGGCAAACAAAGAAGAGAAAGCATTGCCGGCTGACATCGAGGAGTCGTCGTTGCAAATGGCCAATGTGATGGAGTAGCTACTTTTAAGAATAAATGAATGCAGGAAGGTGTTGTAACTTGTTCATCTTCTTCAATTCCTCCCAAGGATATATGGTGACTCTACGGTTATGGACTTGCTTTATAAGACGAGTAATGCTACACTTACCATATTTTTATCCTACATTTCTATACCACATGGCACATAATGTGGCATGACCATATTATATGCCACATCAACTAAATCAATGAAGTGTATTTTAATTAAGACAATTAGAAAAACAAATACTGAAATAAATCATAAAAGAAAAGAAAATATTAAATAACTTTAAGTGATGTGGCTGTCCACCTCAGTTGCCATATAAGATGGTATAGAGATGTGATATACAAATGTGGTAAGAGTAACATTATTCTTATAAGATATATCCAAGTATTCACTACGTTCTAATCGTAGAAGTTATCTTTTTCTCTTTTCTGGTTTATGTATCCAACTATAATTATCATTGAGATTTCAATTTTGAGCACAGGAATGTGAGCAATTACTCTCTCTACGTAGAGCTTGTATAAATAGGGATAAGCATCAATGGGTACTGAATTTGCATAAGTTTTGTTATGATAGCGAACCAAACCACCATGCAGACTTGAATTATGGACTTATTAGCACAGCTGTTAACCTGGACTTTTCTTGCCTTATCTCAAGTCCTGCAAGAGCTATCTCTATTAATGCATCTGGAAAATACAAATGGAAGTAATTGTTTTTACTCTGTATAGTAACTGTTTTTGTTCATTCATAACTGAGTAAATACACTTTGGGAAAGATTTTGTTGACTCTGAATATTGTTTGGAAGCTTTGTAGCATCCAACCTCTTTTTCCTCAATCTGTCTCCCGAATTTCTCACGCTATGATATTATGGGGCCCAGTTGGATAGATATTGAAGAAATAATTCGATTTTAAAGAATCACTAAATATGCTACTTCCCTAAAGCATCACCAATTAAGATTTATTATGTAATCTTCTACATCTAACTACACGTGTTATGACAAGAGTGTATGTCATAATTGACAAGTGGCAAATATGGTATAGTATTAATCATAAAAGAGGGTATAATACTAATTAATAGAGGCATGTGTTATTTCGTGCAAAAAAAAAGAAAAGAAAAGAGGTGTAGGGGGCTTTTTCTTCCGGCAGCTGTGAATGGGCTGGACTGCCGTAAAAGGCAGATTGATGAAATTGTCCTCCTTTGTCTGAGTTCGAAAATCAAGCCCCAAAAATGCTTCGAAAGGGCAGTAGAGCCTTAGGAAGCATCTTGGTTACTTTCACCAACCAAAACAACAGCAACTTACAGATGAGTTATTAGTCTGGCATGAGGAAATCATGGCATGGGAGCAAAATTGACATGATTTTAGCACTAAAGAGAGAATTATGTGTTCTTGGAGAGTAGAAAGGGCGTCCAGGTAAGAGAGGAAGGGTTTTTAAGTAGGTTTGGCTGAGAGAGAAGGGAGAAAAAGGAAATGGTGGCTTGAGTGCTTCTTCCGGCAGCTTGACAGTGACTCTGTCACTGTTAGAACAATATGCCAAAAGAGAAAAAATGGGGAAGAAGGGTGAATAGTGCACGAAATGGCTGGATTTTGCAAGTAAGAGAGGAAGCTTGCTCTCTGGTTGTGGATGGATTTTGTTGGGTAGAAGAGGCCCTATTTATAGCCGCTAGAAGCCATCTTTTTCCAAGAAACCCTAATGGCTTCTATCCTATTTTGCCAAGCCTGTCCCTTCCTTTCTCCCCTCATCCCTTCAATCATCCTTTTTTTGGTGAAATCTCCTATGTTCCTTTGCACAAAATCAGGGGTTTTGGGAGCTCAAGGCCCTCATTTCCCGCAGCTGTGCAGTGGAGGACTCCATTAACAGATGCACATACTTGGTCTGAAGGGTGCTTCTCTTTGTTGAGGCCCAAAAAATCCATGGTTGGGCCCGAATAAATTATCAGCCTAAAATGACATTCCATTAAGGAAAAGCCTAAAGCGGAGTACACGAAAACCCGCCACATGCGAGTTGTAGTTCACGTGCCATGCTAAATAAATTTGCCATGCTAGGGGTTGAGATAAAATATACCGGCTCTACAAGCCTATGCCGAAATTAAACATCGTAGTCCTTCCCAAGGACGATAAAATTAAGACATGCCAAGCAACATGCCATGCCAAGCACAAAATCGTTATCTCACACCCAACCACGCTACAAGCCTAAGTGGGCCCAAGCCACTCAAATGTCTGGGGCTTGCTTGAGTGGGTTGTGGTATGGATGATAATAAATCAACATGAGGCCCATTGATGGGCCGAGAAATGGAAAGTCTCGGGTTGCTTGGGAGCCTCAGGACTCAAGCCCATTTCTTAGGCCCAAACATGTGTATGAGCACAAGGGAGAAAAATAGCCCAATAGCCCAAGCAAAAAATAGCCTATTGACTCAACCAAAGAGCCCAATGTTTAACAAAAATAGCCCACTTGCTTAAAGAACCACCTTGGCCCATACAAAACTCCAAAATAAGCCACAAAAGCCTAAACCCTTTGCTGAAAAAATAAAAGTCAAGTAGAGAAGGTCCACATGTTTATTGAATAAAGCTGCCATAGCACATGAAGGGAGTAAGTTTCAAAGCCAAAACATTCAAGGAACCAAGGGGTATTAGCGTGTAGGATGCCAGAGAGAGAAACACCCTTCGAACCAGCGTATATATCCAAACTCCTTTTCCCATCAGACTTAGTCATGGAAAAAAGGGAAGAAAGCAATAAAAAAGATGGTTGGGAATGGAAGTCTGCCATTGAGACAGTTGCGGGAAAAGGGGGCCTTAAGCTTCAAAAACTCCGATATGGTGCAAATAGATAGAAGAGATTTCATCAAAATGGGAAAAGCCAAGGAAGGAGATGAGAAAGGAGGGAAAAGCTTGGCCAGAATAGGTAGAAGCCATTAGGGTTTCTTGAAAAACGGTGGTTTCCAGCGGCTATAAATTGAGGCTTCTCCTACCTAACAAATGAGACTCAGATTCAGAGAGCAAGCTTTCTCTCTAACTTACAAAAACCCAACAATCTCGTGCACTGTTCATCTTCTTCTCCATTTTTCTCTTCTGGTAGACAGAGTATCTGTCAAGCTGCCAGAAGAGCATTGCTATTCAATTCTCTTCTTAGCCAAATCTCTCACAAAACTTCTCCTTTCTTATCCTAACACTTCATTTTCCCTCAAAGCAAGCCTAAATTTCCTCTTAGTGCTAAACTCATGTTGATTTTGCTTCCATGCCACATGCCACTCACGCTGAGCTTAAGAGTTTATCTGTAAGCCTGCAAAAATTACTTTTAAGTTGCTATTGTTTTGGTTGGTGAAGGTAACCAAAATACTTCCTAAGGCTCTGCTGCCCTTTCGAGGTACTTTTGGGGCTTAATTTTCGAACTCAGACAAATGGGACAATTTCATCAGTCTACCCTTTACGGCAACCTAGCCCATTTACAGCTGTCGGAAGAAAAAGGCCCCTACACTCTTCCTGGCAGCTTACATGCTAATATTCCCTTGGGTCCTTGCATGTTTCTTTTGCTTTGAAACTTGTTTCTTCCTTCCCATCCACCAACGTGATCTTCCATGGTTTCTTCATGGCTTTATCCTTCAGCCAATAGATGGGGTTTTTTAGTTGTTTGCTACCTCTATTTTCTAGGATAGGAAATTAGCCCCTTAAACAAATGGGCCACCCCTATCAAATATTGGGCTATTTGGGTTAGTTTTAGTGGGCCATTTTGACTGGGCTTTTGGTTGGGTTATTTTGGTTGGACTATTTTCCCCTTTTTGTGCTCACCCATATGTTTGGACCTAAGAAATGGGCTTGGGTTCTGAGGCTCCCAAGCAACCCGGAACCTCCACTTCTTGGTCCATCAATGGGACTCATGACAATTTATTACCATTCATACCACAACCCACTCAAGCAAGCCCCGGGCATTTGAGTGGCTTGGGCCCACTTAGGCTTGTAGCGTGGTTGGGTGTGACATAACAATGTTTGGCATGGCATGTTGCTTGACATGTCTTTCAATTATGATGCTTGATGGGATAATTAGCATGGATTTGTAGAACTAACGCATTTTACAATCTTAATTTTGATTCCTAGCACGATAGATTATTTATTTGGCATGACACGCGAAGTGTGATTCGTGCACGGTAAATCTTTGCGTGCTCCAAATTGGGTCTTTTCTCAATAATATATCGTTTTGGGCCGAGAATATATTCGGGCCTAATTGTGGATTTTTTGGGCCTCAACAAGAGGCATGCGTTATAATAACATGTAAGAGCTTGTAGCTCAAGTGATAACCGTCACACCTAAGAATTTCTAAAAACTATGACCTCATAGCTAGTACCCTATTAGCATATATAAGAAAATTTTCTCAGTGTGCCCCTCATGTCACACCTCATTGTGTTATTACTTCTTTATTATTATTATTATTATTATTATTATTATTATTATTATTATTTATTTTATTTTATTTTATTTTTTTTTGTGGTCGAAACATTGTGTTATTAGTTCACATGTTATAATTGGTAGACGACACGATTAATGTATTAGGGACCTGAAAATTCAATTTGGCCATTGAGAAAAAAATTTAGCCAAATTATTAGTCAATTGTGCTTCCTTAGTACTAATTTGGCTAAATTTTTTTTTCTTAATAACCAAATTGAATTTTTGTGCAAAATCCAGTGATCAAAAAGGTATTAACCCTAGTATTAAATAAGAATACTTCCATTCACACCTCCTTATCCTATTTTCCCACACACTATTTGATAAAAATTTTAATGAGCAATTTGAGAGAACCAGGACGCTTAGACGGCTAGATTATGTTTGGTAGCTCAAGAAGATCAACATACATACATTATTATTGTTTAAGAGTTGAAAGAGGTACAGATCATTGGCTTTATATGAAGTCCTGCAATATAAGGAAACGAGTTATGGTAGTAACTTTTTTTACTGAGTATATATGCTATGGACATCAGAATAAGTTATAAATTTTGTTTGTATATTTAAGCATATTTGTAATTTCTTTTATTTCTTAAGAGAAAAAAAAATTGTATTTCCAACAGGATACTAGCTTGTCCCTGTCAGACCATCTCCAACCTTTGGGGTGGAAACTCAAATTTTGAGTTTAGCCTTCAAAAACCATCTCCAACCCATGTATTTTGAGGGGTGGAAATTTGAGAAATCTCAAATTCGGACTGGAATTCCACCCAAACTATTGCCTGGACTGATAATGTTTGTGGGCCCAAAATCTACTTTTTCTTCTTTGTTTTAACCTTGGAAGCCCACGTGAAAAACAAAAGTGTTGGCCCCACATGAGTTTTGCAACAAGCTGGCCATTTGATTGAATCCCAACCGCTACTTTTTCAAAATTATGCGGTGCTCTATTTTTTCTTTTTTTAATATTCCAACAGCTATAATTTGTGTTAACCAAAAATCTTTTTTTTTCTCCCCTTTTTTTCCTTTCTCTCTTTGTTATATTTTTTCATTCTACTTTCATTCTTATATTTTTTTCATTATATTTTATACTTTACTCATTCTTAGCACATTAATTTGTGTCAATTAACAATAGAGCAACAACCACTTTTATACAAATTTTCATAATTTAAACACACAACATAATTTAAACACATATGGTGTTGTACTTATTTTTATTTTTCAAGTGAAAATCTATTATGTTTTGGAATTTTAATTTTTTTAGGTTAAAATGTTTAGAAAATTAAATCACGAATGTTGAAACAAAAATAATGTCAAGAAAAATTAATGAGAAAAAAAATTTAGGAGTTAATCATTCTTAAACAATTTAATAAAGTTGTGGACTTAAATTATGAGTCTGCAAGGTTGGAGGAAAAAAAAATTTGAGTCCTGAAAATACATGAATAGTTGTATTTTGGAAGGTGGAAATTTGAGTTTAGCCCCAACATGGTTGGAGATGGTCTCATATATCAACTAGGTGAAAAAATATAGGAAGAAAATCGGTTCATTCTTATTGTTCTGATTACTAGTTAGTACACATCTAATGGATCACTAAATTTTATTCCCCCAACATGACATGACCCAAATGCCAAAATGTGACCTCATAGTTAGTAGCATTATCCTTTGATACTCAGAATGCTCAATTAGTCTTACTCAACATTAATGCCATTGACAAACTTGAACAAGCAGGAAAGCAAAATGCTGGTAGAAGTTAGGGAAGTGGAAAGTCAGTGAATGAAAATAAATACCATTTGAACTGCAAAGCCGGTGAGCATGTTGCCTCTTTGTACTAACATCCTTTTCAATCTTAATGAAGTTGACATCAATCCCTCAATTAATAATTAAGTACACGCACATGAGCCTCCTAAACAGTTCATCTAACTTACTATATGTAACAAGGTTGCTGGAACTGATAAAAAGCACCAAAGCCAGCTTAACCAACTTGTAAAAGTTGGATTTATTACTTTTATACCATTTTAGTGTTGCAGGGTTTTTCAATGCAGACCGGTCTTGATTTCCAAGGGGCCCTTCTGGGCCTCTGGTTGTGCTTGTTTGCTGTAAGCTTCTGCTACAGCAATGCAGAGACTATTGAAGCATAAAAAATCCGTAACACATTATTAACATTAAAATCTGTGCCATATGATTAATTTTGTCTCTGTGATTGTCAATCTTATGCAAATAGGAAGTGTTAAGGTCACCAGCTTGCGGCCAATTGACACGAGAACATTGGCGCCAATATAGTTCATCGAGTTCTAGTAACCTGTCGAGCTCATTTGTAACCAATTTCTTACTTTGGAGAATGGCTTTAGAAGGGGCAATAGTTTGAAAGGAAGCTAGAGAGGTACGCAAAGACTGAATTTTGGAATTCATATGACTGAATTTTTGACTTTTCCACTTTGATAGGCGCTTAGCACATATGGCAAGAATAGTCGTAGGAGATTTCCATTGTTCCTCAAAATGGAAATGACGTGGACTCCGACGATGCCAAACATCAACACCAGGCTGCACGTCGGGAAGGAGAAAAATTGGGTGATGATCAGAAGAATATGCTGAAAGATGGTAGATGGTAAAATTGCCCCACTGCTGAAACAAGGCTAAATTATCAAAGCCTCTATCTAATCGCACTTGAACATTGGCTTTATCTTTGCAGTTGTTAGTCTAGGTAAAAGGATGACCCACAAAATCAAATTATAACAGATTACAGGTGTCAATTATCCTTTGAAAATCTTCGATTTGACCGACGGAGTGGAGACGAGGGCCACTTTTTTGGTCCACAGATAGAGTCTCATTGAAGTCACCACAACACATCCATGGACCAATATCCACTTGACTCAAACGGCGAAGAAGCTCCCAAGAATGAATTCGTCGAGTAGGGTTAGGTTGACCATAGAACCCAGTAATTTGTGAAACAAAGGAATTAGGAAAGGTAACCCGAGCGTCAATATGTCCCGAGGAGGATGAGAGCAACACAACTTGTAAAGTAGGCTTCCAAAGAATACAGAGACCACCAAAGAACCCTTCACTGAGAACACAGAGGACTCCACCCACACCAAGTCTTCGGACCAATCCACCCATCTGGACAGCAGTCATATGAGTCTGAATAAGGAAAACAATGTATGGTGTTTTGTCCTGTAAGAGGTTTCTGAGATCACGGAACGTATGATGGTTGCCAAGCCCCCGCACGTTCTAGCTTAATAGAAACATAGCAAAGACTAGAATTTCCACTCTAACCACCCAGCCAAGTTGAACAAAAACCCACAGCATGTGAAGGAGAAAGACAAAGACAGGAGAACAAAAATCCAAAGAATTACCACAACACTAGCACACTTAGGAAAACACCGGCAAGGACCCAGATTCATAGACAGTGAAACAAGCAGGTGGGTGGCGCGAGGGAGACACAAGGGCAGAGAGCCCTAATTCCGACCACGCTCACAATCGATACGAGACCAAACCCAATAAAATCTCAAGGGACCAGTCGATTAGTACATGCAATGAGCTCGAGTGAAGAAGGGAGAGACAAAACCAGTCCCTCGTGGTGAGTGATAAGGCAAGAAGGAGAGACAACGACAACATCTATCGTGGGCAAAGGAGGAATGACAACGGCTGGACGAGTGACGGTAGGGGCTGACCTTGAATAGGAACCCTAGATATGACGTGCGGCTCTCCTTGCTTAGCGAGAGAGCGATCCTAGGAGCTAATTTCCTATCTTTATTTGTATTGTTTATGGCTTGGTTTTTTCAAGATTTATCTATTTTTGGTTATTCTGAGTTTGCACTCTTAATTGGGATGCTTATGCCAGAGTTTCTTCTAACATGCGGGATCGTTAATGGTGGAGCCCCAAATTGTCTTAATTTTGATGTTAGATCGCTCTGTTATTGTAATGACCCTTTGTGATTAGTGACTTTTTTGGCTGAATTATGAATGCAATTTCAGAATAAATAAAAAAAAAAAAAAAAAAAAAAAAAAAAAAAAAAAAAAAAAAAGAGATATTAATGTGATGTGAGTAAGTGTGTGACAAGTCATAATTGAATTCATGGTATAGTATTAATTATAAAAATAATGGTATAGTATTAATTAATAGATACATGTGTTATAATATAAATAGATTGGTAACATGCAAGGGCTAGTAGCTCAAGTGATAATCGTCACATCGAAGAATTTCTAAATAAGATAACCTCATAGCTAGTACCCTAGTAGCATATATAAGAAACTTTTCTCAATGTGTTCCTCACTCACACCTCCTTGTGTTACTAGTTCTTTTTCTTTCTTTTTTTTTCTTTTGTTTTTCTTTTTGGTCAAAACATTGTGTTACTAGTTCACACATGTTATAATTGGTGAACAACATGATTAATTTATTAGGGACCAAAATAAGAATGCTTCCATTCACACCTCGTCATATTTTCCAACACACTATTTGATGAAAATTTTAATGAGCAATTTGAGAGAACCTGGACGCTTAGACGTCTAGATTATATTTGGTAGCTCAAGAAAATCAACATACATTATTAATATTGCTTAAGTAGAGTTGAAAGAGGTACATATCATTGGCTTTATCTGAAGTCCTGCAATATAAGGAAACAAGTAATGGTATTATTTTTTTTTTTTTTTTTTTTTTTTTATTTTAGTAGTATATATGGACATCATAATAAGTTATAAAATTTTGTTTGTATATTTAAGCATATTTTTAATTTCTTTTATTTCTTAAGAGAAAAAAAAATTTGTGTTTCCAACAAGATTAGCATGTCCCCGTCATACATCAACTGGGTAATATTGGAAGAAAATCATCTTGGAAATGATTGATTCTGACTCTTAGTGCCCGTTTAGCATTGCTTATTTGGGGTGATAAGTGATATTTTTAAAATTTTTGGAAAGCCCAGCTCATTTGGTAAATTATGAGAAAATCACTTATTGTTAAAAATTGTTGTGTGAGAAAGCTATAAGGGAAAACAGCTAATGAGGTGCTTTCATTTTCTGATTATGTAGGAATTAGTTTCGAAGAGGCGCTGGGTTTAATGATTATGCTTGAATCATTTTTTGATTATTCGGGAAATAGTACTAACAACACTTTTAACAAAAAGTTTACCAAACGCCAAACTGCTTTATCTTATAGCTGATTTCTCTCACAGCAAATCTAACAACGATTATTTTCACAGCACATCAATGCCAAATTGGCCCTTAGTCTTTTCAGTTCATTCTTATTGTTCTGATCATAAGTTAGTAAGTGTGTTATTACTATCTAAAGGATCACTAAATATTATTCCCCCAACATGACATGACAAATTAAGCTTGGGATATTAGTACCCAAATGCCAAAATGTGACTTCATAGTTAGTAGCATGTCCTTTGATACTTAGAGGTCCCATTTAGTGGGCTGGACTGGACTAGACTTTTCCAATTAAAATGGATTATAGTCTTAGCCGTTGTTTGGTGAATCTAAATTGCATGTTGGACTGGTTTTTTTTTTTTTTTTTTTTCTTTTTCGGATAAGAATCCATCGTATGAGGGTTTTGTAAACCCAAGTTGAACCACGGGTTTCGAAGCCTCCGCCTCCTCCTTCACATCTCATCGCCTCTGCTCTATGTCTCTGCTCTACGTTCTTCACATCTCATCGACTCTGCCCTACGTCTTCGCCCCAAGCTGAACCACGAGTTTTTGTCATTCAATCTTCAGAAAACCTAGATTGTGTAGAAGTTTCGCATTCAGAAATCAAACCCAAGTGAGTATTTTTTTTGTTCATTATGCTAATATTCTGCATTATCTTTTTAGGTTTTGATTTGGGGTTTTCTAGGGTATTTGATTTGGCGTTTTGGGGTGTGGGTTTTCTAGGGTCCTTGCTCAATCTTCAGGATCAGTACGTTATTTTTTCTCCATCTTTTCAGTTTTACAAATACCTTTTTTCTTTTCTTTTCTTTTTCTTTTATTTGTTAAGTTTAATGGCTTAGGCTTCTTTGTTGAATTTGGCATCAGATAGACCCCTTTTATGATTTGTGGTTCTGGGTTCAATTTCTGAAAAGCTTATTGTGTTGAAGAAAGAAAATGGTGTAGTTATTTATTTATGTTCAAGCAGAAACTAGATTGACAAAGAATCTAAATAGGCTTAAGTGCCATTAGTTGTGTCAAAATTTCTAGCATTTAGTAAACTGGACATTGCCCATTTAACAATCTTTAATTTGAGTAACACTAACATGTATAGTATTGATCTGGTTTAATAGTATTGATCGTTTGATCATCATTCCATTAAGCTCAATAAGGACTTCCTTCAAATAGAAGTAAATCTTTCCAAGGTTAATTGTTGTAGTTCTTGGATTTTAGTGTGGGAGCCATGATTCTCAACTGAACCCGCTTTCATTGATATGATTTGGAGAAGAGACAGATTGAGAAAGAAGGGGTTTCATTTCCCTGATACTGTTCACAATCTTCTCTCATTACTTTTATATTCCTTGTAAGATGAGGTGGCTTCATGTAATCACTGAATCATATATGCAATCTTGTACTTGCATGCTGGGACTATTTTGCTTCGTTTTCATGTTGTTTTACTATGAGGAGAGGCCTGATAATTGCTGAAAATATGAGTAACATTTCCAATATAGTTCACAGCCTCCTCTTCTGGCATTCCAAATTCTCATTGTATAGGCATTACTTATCTGAAGTTTAACACTTACATTGCCTGCAGATTTGGGTGCCGTCAAATCCTAGAGGTGCAGAAAGACTACCACCAGGAATTCTTGCAGCTGAGTCAGACTTCTACTTGCGCAGATTATGGGGCAAGCCCAGTGAGGTGTGTATTCTGCTGTTACTTATGCAATCAACATAGTTACAATTTGGACTTTCCACAACGCCTGGAATGGTCCAATTAATATATACTGAAGATAATGCGGAATGAATGGTGTTAATGGATTCCATTAGCATTTGGTGTTCAGGGAACCATTTTTTGATATGGCTTTCTCTGCTATCCTGATTTGAGTTACTCGGTAATTTATATGGCTTCCAGAAAAAAAAATATCATTTGACATGTACCTGGTGATGTTTTTATGAATAATTTGATTTCTTCTTCTTCTTCTTTTTTTATTTTATTTTTTTGCCTACCCCTTTGGTAGAATTTTTGTTTTTGGAGGCATAAAGATACTTCTGATTTCAATATACTGCACCGTGATTCATTTAAGTTGGCAATTGCAGGACTTGACCATCAAACCAAGGTACCTTGTAACATTCACTGTGGGTTTGAATCAGAAAAAGAATATTGATGCAACAGTGAAAAAGCTCTCTCTCTCTCTCTCTCTCTCTCTCTGAGGTGGACGTGTGTCAGAGAACTTTACAATTCTTCTTTTTCATTACGTGGCCAAACAACTGAATGGGATGAGTTTGAGTGGCCTAAGCGAGCTATACATGTCAAAATTTCTAGCATTACATTGCAAATTATTTTAAAATGGAGCTATCATGAAGACTCCACTGCTAGTTTGTTGAAAAGTCTCTGTTTTGTGGATAGAAATTCCTTTCCATCTATCTTTATTTGGACCCATGTTGTTCCCAATTGGAGGTGTAAATTGTGTTTATGACCAACTCTAGTTGTTTTTGTGTTTCAAAATATGGATTGGGGCTTAAATTGATGCACCATATTGTTAGGCAATTGCTGAGCTAAGCCCATGTATGGATGAAAAGCATTCATGAGGTTGAAGCTTGATTTAATTTCAATGAGCTTGTTAAGCCTAAAGTTCACCATAGGCTCTTCAACTTTCTATTTTAATTGAAAAAGTCTTGTCCAGTCCAGCCCACCATAGGCTTCTTTTACATAAGTTTATGTTTGAGTATAAAAAAGAAAGTCACAGATTATGATTTTGTTCTTGCCAATATTGTTAATGACATGGTAGACATGGATCAAAAGAGAAAGAGGAAGATTATGACAACTCTAGTTAAAGGTTCCGGCGGGTAAGATTAATGTAGATTCCATGTAGTGTAGGTGTAAATCATCTTAAATTTGAATTATATTTTTTAATTAGCTCCTATTTATTGTTTATGATATTATTACCTTGTGGATGCTGGTTACACAAATTGTGAGGGATTTCTTACGCCCTACAGAGGAACGAGATATCACTTATTGGAATGAAGAGAAGGATGTGCACCCTTGAACTATCGATAATACTTCAACATGAAGCATGCATCAACAAAAAATGTGGTGGAACGTTGTTTTGGACTTCTTAAGATGCATTGGGCAATCTTAAGGAGTCCATCGTTCTATCCAATACAAACACAATGCCGAATAATAATGGGTTGTTGTCTTTTACACAACTTAATTAGGAGAGAAATGTCTAAGATCCAATGGAGCAAGAAATTTATTATGATCCCCTCATTGAGAACAATGTAGATCATGCCACTATTGATACCATTGCCGCATCCGACCAATGGTCTACATGGAGGGATAATTTGGCTACTGAGATGTTTAATGAGTGGATGGTAAATAGAGCAGCATAACATAAGTATTTGTTGATCATTTGAATGTACTTAAAAGAATTTTCGTGTTATTATTAATTTTTTGAATTTTTGGACTATTTTTATGGTTTCTTCATGTGATTTCTTATTTTTAATTTTGTGTACAAGTTTTTTTAATTAAATTTAATTATTTCTGATATTAAATAATTTTAATAAACATTAAAATAAATTTTATTTGAAGTCCAATGCTGTCCAGTCCATACTGGTACCAAACAATGGACTGGACTTTAGTCCAGTGCAGTCTAGTCCAACTTAATGTGCCAAACAACTTATTAAAGTCCAACTCAATTCAAGCCAAACCAGTCCAATACTCAAAGCCCAATCCTAACCAGTCCAGTCTATCCCACCAAACAGGGCTAGAAGGCTCAATTAGTCTTACTCAACATTAATGCCATTTAACAAACTTGAACAAGCAGGAAAGCAAAATCCTGGTAGAAGTTGGGGAAGTGGAAAGTCGGTGAATGAAAATAAATACCATTTAAACTGCAAAGCCGGTGGGATGTTGCCTCTTCGTGCTAAGACCCTTTTCAATCTTAATGAAGTTGACATCGATCCCTCAATTAATAATTAAGTGCAAGCACATGAGCCTCCAAAACAGTTCATCTAACTTACTATAAATAACAAGGTTGCTGAAACTGAGAAAAAGCACCAAAGCCAGCTTAACCAACTTGTAAAAGTTGGATTTCCTACTTCTATACCATTTTAGTGTTGCAGGGTTTTTCAATGCAGACCCGTCTTACTTTCCAAGGGCCCTTCTGGGTCTCTGGTTGTGCTTGTTTGCTGTAAGCTTCTGCTACAGCAATGCAGAGACTATTGAGGACGCTGGAGAACAAGCACTAGAAAGAGCTTATTCAGGTGAGATATATATATGATATATATAGAGTTATTTCATCAGACGTCCGCATATTATTACCTTGCGGATGTCCAGAGGTCCGCATAGGAGAAAATCTGTGTGTATATATATATATATATATATATATTTTTTTTTATATGTGTGTGTATGTAATTATATATTAGTGTTAGTATGATCAAATAGTTCTTTTAGGGGACTTGATTACACTACAAATTTTCTTTTAGAAGGAAGCTACTTGACAGCTCTCACAATGTAGCACAGTACAATAACAAAAGTTACAAAACAGACCCCTTCATTGCTCCTCATTATTTTGAATTACTTACTGAAATCTCTAGGTTTTGTTATTTTTTTGGTTAATTGTTTTTCTGATAAGTAACATTCTTCTGCATCTCTTTGTGCACATGTCCAAATTGAAGAGCTGCAAACAGAGGCTGCAGAGCTCAATGAAGAAGGGAAGTTTGTCTTTAAGAAACACCCTCTACCTAAGATTCCCATTGTAAAGAAGCCATTTCCACCAAAGCCCTTCTTCAAGAAGCCACTTCCACCACCAGTTCCAATCTTCAAGAAACCAATCCCTCCTCCAGTTCCAATCTTCAAGAAGCCAATCCCTCCTCCAGTTCCAATCTTCAAGAAGCCACTCCCTCCTCCAGTTCCAATCTTCAAGAAGCCACTCCCTCCACCTGTTCCAGTCTTCAAGATTCCAAGCCGGGTCATCCACCGGTACCAGTTGTGGAAGAGAAACCTTTTGTAAAGAAGCCATTTTTTTCATCCCCTTCCAAAATTCAAGAAGCCATCTCTACCTCCTGTTCCAATCTATAAGAAGCCACTTCCTCCACCAATTCCCGTATACAAGAAACCATTTCCCCATCCTATTTTCAAGAAGCCACTTCCTCCACCCATTCCAACATTTCCTCCACATCCTTTCCTTGGGAAGCCACACCCTCCTCTGGTTCCCTAAAGCTAGCCTAGTGTTCTTTCACCTAAGCCCATATTGTTAAGGGATGAAAGCATAGAAGTTATGCATTGGTTAGAATAAATTCCTACATGGAGAGAGAAGGAGACAGAGAGAGAGAGAGAGAGAAAGAAGAAAGATGACAACGAAAGAAGAGACTGTTCTTGGAAGTTCGAACTTTACTATGAACTTTTGCATCGTAATATTTCTACATGTATTGTAATATTTCTGCTTGTTCTTGCTGTTATATGGCTACTGTGTGATAGTAAATTTGCATTTTTATCAGTTCAAGGAAATATTTTTCATTAATTCCAAACAATCAACCTCAAGCCCTCAGCACACAAGACTTTTTCTGGATTAATTAGTACTCAAATGGTGAATTGTCAAGCCAACGGTCCATAGCTCAATGGTAAGAGCATTTGTTTATAGATCAGTGACCTCAGGTTTGAACCCTAAACCCAACACCTCACCCTTCCAAACTTCGACAAGAAAAAAGGTGAATTTGTGAAAGGGAAAGAACCGCACTAAACCTACTTGATTAAGGACCAGTTTATTCATTACCCTAATTCTAAGTCCTTAGAGCATCCACAATGAGCTCCCTAAACCACCTTTTTAGACAAATTTTAGGAAGGAATTGGAAAAATACAACTCCAACCATGCTCCATATTTACCTCCTAAAATAAGGAGATATCTAGGAGCTCCTAAATTTGAGGAGAGAGAAAGGACTCCTAGTGGCTCCCTATAATTTAATGCTGCTTTATTTAATGAGTATTTCAAACTTTTAATTAATGCTAACTATTATTTATATTATTTTTTTAATAGAGATGGACAAATTAAAAAAGAGTTATAGCATTTATGACTCCCTAAACTAGAGAGTATGATTGGAGTTTAAATTTTATAGAGAGCTCCTAAAATAACTTTTATATGTTTTTAGCTAAAATTTAACTAAAAAATAAAGAGCATGATTGTGGATGCTCTTAGTGAAACTGTGCTCTCAATCTTGGCATCTGAGAGCATTTACAATGGGCTCCCTAAATCACTTCCTTAACAAATTTTAGTGAGGAATTGGAAAAATACGACTCCAATCATGCTCCATATCCACCTCCTAAAATAGGGAGACCTCTAGAAGCTTCTAAATCTGAGGAGAGAGAAAGGATTCTTAGTGGCTCCCTATAATTTAATGATGCTTTATTTAATAAGTATTTCAAACCTTTAATTAATGCTAACTTTTTAAATATTAATTTTTAATAGAGATAGACCAATTAAAAAGAGTTATAGCATTTATGATTCCCTAAACTAGAGAGCATTTTTGTGGATGCTCTGACAACCATTTGTACTTTGCCCTTCATTATGGCAAAATTCTAAGATGCATTTGAGGAATATAATTATCATTGAGATTTCAATTTTGAGTACAAGAATGTGAGCAATTACTCTCTCTACGTAGAGCTTGTATAAATAGGGATAAGCATCAATGGGTACTGAATTTGCATAAGTTTTGTTATGATAGCGAACCAAACCACCATGCAGACTTGAATTATGGACTTATTAGCACAGCTGTTAACCTGGATTTTTCTTGCCTTATCTCAAGTCCTGCAAGAGCTATCTCTATTAATGCATCTGGAAGGAAAATACAAATGGAAGTAATTTTTTTTTACTGTGTATGGTACTTGTTTTTGTTCATTCATAACTGAGTAAAATACACTTTGGGAAAGATTTTGGTGACTCTTAATATTGTTGGGAAGCTTTAGCATCCAACCTCTTTTTCCTCAATTTGTCTCCCAACTTTCTCACGCTAGGATATTATGGGGCCCAATTGGATAGATATTGAAGAAATAATTCGATTTCTTATGCTACTTCCCTAAAAGCATCACCAATTAATAAGATTTATTATGGGGCCCAATTGTAATCTTCTGCATCTAACTACACGTGTTATAACAAGAGTGTGTTACTCA